AAAAATCGGACAATATTCAGTGGCGGGGGAATCAGACAATATTTGGCAGGAGGAATCGGACAGTATTTAGCAGGAGAAATCGGACATTTTTTTCGCAGGGAAATCGGACACTATTTGGCAGGGGGAATCGGACACTGTTTAGCAGGACAAATCGGACAGTATTTGGCAGGGCAGGGAATCGGACAGTATTTGTTGGTAGGAAAAATCGGACAATATTCAGTGGCGGGGGAATCAGACAATATTTGCCAGGGGGAATCGGACAGTATTTAGCAGGAGAAATCGGACATTTTTTTCGCAGGGAAATCGGACACTATTTGGCAGGGGGAATCGGACACTGTTTAGCAGGACAAATCGGACAGTATTTGGCAGGGCAGGGAATCGGACAGTATTTGTTGGTAGGAAAAATCGGACAATATTCAGTGGCGGGGGAATCAGACAATATTTGCCAGGGGGAATCGGACAGTATTTAGCAGGAGAAATCGGACATTTTTTTCGCAGGGAAATCGGACACTATTTGGCAGGGGGAATCGGACACTGTTTAGCAGGACAAATCGGACAGTATTTGGCAGGAAAAATTGGACAGTACTTGGCAGGGGGGAATCGGACAATATTTGGCAGGGGGAATCGGACAGTTTGGCAGGAAAAATCGGACAATATTTGGCAGGAAAAATCGGACAGTATTAGGTGGGAGAAACCGTAAAATATAACGTTGGTTATAATGCTACACACAGCACAGTATGTACTACTCACACTTCACATGGCGTTAGGCCTACGTACGTAGTATGGAACGCCGTATTATCGCGGTACTTATCACGTTTCTCGTTCGGAATAGAGATTGCCCACTAACCTTCCAGAATTGTCCTGTCTTATGTGTAGTATAACTCTTCCTTTTTAAATTAATATAAAAAAATCTGACGGGTAGTGTGGTTTATTCCGTGTACGATGCCTGTGAAAATAGACATGCGCGGCGTGTGCAAACGGAGGTGGACTCCCTATTATCGCGGTATGCGGGAAGTGGTTTTTATAATGATCCCAACTTTTTTGTTCATAGTTTATGTTTGACCAAAACACCCCCTGAATAAAGTCTGATATTTTCCCTGTAACGTTCAAGTTGATTAAAGACAAAATGTCTGCAGGATGATTTCTTAAGACCCTGCCCTTCCCCCGAAAGGAGAACACAAATCCCTGAGGCAAGTCTACTGATCGGCGATTGAGGGCGCCATTCACTTTACACGGTGTGCCGTTTTATTTTCGCTAACGCGCGGTGCTTATTTTGATCCCGTAAAAGTTGTTACGATTTCGCGCTGCAAATATCGTCGTTCGACTTCATTTTACATTTGCAGCTGAAGAATGGGAACCAGACAATGGAACTTTCATGGACAGAGCGCAATTAAAGATTTATGTTAAAATATAAACGGTACCTTTTAGCAGACACGGTGAGGGAAAATTTTGCAAGTTTTGGAAAACGTTAATATTTATTAAAATCGTTAAAAGTCCCGAAAGACACAACATTTTTTAATCGTCCTTTTTATACAACTCGGTAGAAAATCCTTGATGACTGGTGAACTGGATAAAAATCGCCACTTGATGGAGTTTTGACACTGTAAAAAGAGAAATTTCCCATGCCGCGATAATAGGGATGCCGCGATAATAGGGAGTCTGACTATACTGCATGCCAAACAGGTGAACTGACGCGAAAAAAAAACACACAAACATTTTGCACAAATATAATGTTTAAACTATTAGGGAAACCAAGTCGAATAGTTAACAAGGAAAACGTTAAAACAGATTGTAAAAAGCAAATTCAGGTGAAAAGAGATCTTTTCTATGCGATGCATTGACAGCTCGACAAGGCAGGCAATAGGATGCACGCTAAGCGCGGACACTATTTGGCAAGCGTCCGTAAACAATGTGACGTCATAGACGCATGACCAATCAGATCGCATTATGCTAATTAGCGGACACTATTTGGCACCGGACGGTTTTTGGCACGACACCGGGCCCGATCGCTATGCGCCACACCATGACACAGCGCAGCGCTAGCGCGCGGCACAGCCACGGAAGTGAGGTTTAACTTTACTTTAACACTAAATCAGACCCGATTTTGATTTCCTCAGAGTCAGAATCACTTTTCCCCACAATACAAATAATGTTTACCGTTGTGTAGCTCAAGTATATACAGAGAAAGTCCCATCAATCATTTCAAGACGTCAGACTCGACTCGATCGTTCGTGACCTCGACGCACAACACTCGCCTTTACTTTACTTCCGTGTTAATCAACTTTAAATCCCAACACCGCCGCGCCCAGGGTGACCGTAAGGTCATGGCAAAATTCTGCTAAATGCGCTTCAAAAATCTGTCAGATTTATCAAAAATCTGCCCAATTCCCCAGATTTTCTCGAAATCCACTAAAAACCCAAAACCACATGCAGATTTGTAGTTCTGCCTTAATTAAGGTTCAAATTACATTATTAACAATTTACAGTCACATAAAGAGGTTGTGAAATTATTGCGTAAATTTCAGGCAAAACGCGGTTGCGGTGTGAAGTCCGGTTCCCAGTTAACCTCAGCGCCTAGACCAGCCAACCTGTCCCATTATGCAAGGGTTTGTTTGAAAAAGATTGAAGTTTTGTTTAAACAATTGTACCTTTTTTTCAAATTTGCACATTTCTGCCAGAAATCTGCCAAAAATATCCATTCTGTCAAATTTCTGTCAAACTCGTTTTTTAACAAAAAATCTGTCAAAGTTAGCCGAAAATCGGCTAAAACGGTCACCCTGACACCGCCACCAAGTGTTCAATGATGTCCAGTCAGTCAGTCCGTCGGTAGGGGAGGGGTCTGGGAGGGGGCGCAACAACATTCCCCACTCTTGATGGTCTCGAACTTAATGTAGTCAATAATCAGGTCAAAATTGGGCAAACACTCAGAGCAGTAATTCAAATTTAAGTGCAGAATAGCAGAATCCAGTCTCTGTGATTGGGCCAGGGGCATTTGTGACAGTGCTGTATGAACAAAACATGATTCAGTTTTATATCTCACTTTGATGAGCAAAGATTTTTTTTAATTAGCCCTACCATTGTTTTATGTATACCATAATTAATGCATGTAGGGATACTGCGTAGCACTTCAGCATGTAAACCAATAGTAAAAGGCCCTGCTCACTGGAAAGTAGTTGTAAAAACTTTACCATGTTGTTTTCCATATAACCATGCAAAGAACAGGATTTAGGTACAAATCTGCCCATATCGGCTCACTATGCAGGGGGGGGGGGGGGGGGGGCCTACACAGCTGGGAGTTTTTGCAGGCAATCGTTGATTGGAGCGCTGCAACTTGCTGAACACTGCGCTAGTATTTAACATGCGCACACTTCTCTATCTTCTCTATAGAACAGTGATTATTACATTTTTTGTCACTTGAAAGAATTTAAAAAAAAATGTTTTGCATGGCAAAGTAATAACAAGTTAACAACATACGTCCGGTACAACAATTAATTTACTCATTGTTTATTTAAATGACTAAAATACAGAAATTAATGATAAATGTTAGTTTTAATGGAGTACCGAAGTGTGACGTCATTTAGAACCAGAAAGTGTGTACAAATGAATGGAGTACGCGCACGTGTTGGTTCACAGGCTGAATCATGCGCCAATGTCTTTCACACACATTTTGTGCGCGTGACGTATTCACTTCGGTACTCCATAATTTAGACAACTTTCCCCAGATGTCTCCTGCCCCCCACCCCCAATTTCCCCATGGCCCCCCCCCCCCCCCCCCCCCCCCATTTCAAATTCTGAATTAAACAAAGGTATATAAAATATAAAGTATATCTATATATATATATATGTATATTCACTATCCTTTCGAAACATTTGCGCCACCCCTGGTGCCCCCAAAGTTTAACCCTAATGACGCCAGGGATAGCAAGCAAATGTAATATAACTGCCAATATTTACATAAATATATGTGCCCTGCACGAAGCTCTTATCTTTAAAAACTTACAACCTCTTTTAAAGGGAAAATACAACATTTGCAAACATCAAAAAATAAAACTACCAAATCATTTTGAAATACCTTGCTGGACTGTTAGTGAATGACAGTGTAAAGCATCCTGTAAAATCATAGCACCTGGTATACTGTCATTTTCAAGAAAAGTGGTATTTTTGTATCAATTTCCAACGCTGATCGGCCGACCAGCGTTAAAAAACTGGGTTTTTTTCAAATACTGGCCCCAATTGACCATCGCACTTGTTTGCAATCGATTACACACCGATGAACGGGTACAAGCCAGCTAGACTGGTTCCCTGACCTTACAATTCCCCAATGTATGTAAACTGCTCTGTTTCTTCTTAAATGGAGTCAGGGAACCAGACTACAGGAAAATGATTGTTTTTCTTGGTTTTTATAGCATTTTTGAACTCAAAACCTAAAAAAAGTCAGTGTAACTATATTTGCTATATATTTCCAACCCCCAAATTCCATCCATTTCTGAAAATTACAGCAAAAGCAAATGATGTATATTCCCCTTAAGTTCTGGCAGGAGCAATTCATCTACTTGTCACTTTGTGGTTGGTCGGTTGGTCGGTCAGTCGGTCTGTACCTGGAAAATTGACCAAAAACGACCCCCTAAGTTTCCCATAAAATACCAAATTTTAATGTTCCCAAAAGAGCAAACCAAATAAATTAAATACTGTCACAAAAATTTGCTCCGTCAAAAAAAAAAAATTCCATACAAATTCCTAAAAAATAAGTTGAACCCTCCCCGCCCCCCCTGTGACACCCAACAAAAATTTATACAGGTATAATGTCTGTCTGTTCTAAATACGGTAGACCATTCTGTAATCTAGTGCTAATAATTGTCGAATTTGAACAGCGCCCCCTATTGAAATATGGTACCAGGCGCCCCCCCCCCCAGTTTTTTATTTTACCGAGGCCAAGTGTCCGGAAAAAAAAAACCTGTGTACATTTTCAGGTTTTTTGCTGATGAAAACCCCCCCCCTGCGAAAATTCCTGGATCCGCCCCTGTTGACAATGAGAGTACAATGCAGGTACTCCTGCAAAGTAAAGATGAACCAAGACCTAGCTCAGGTGTCCTGTCAGCTGCATATTCTGGGCTCACAAATTGCTTGTTTCCCAAAAGTGGCTAATTTGTAATAGCGCCCCCATTCAATAAAAAATAAAAATAAATTGCCAAAATAGCACCAAAACAGGTTTTGCATAGATCTTTTTTCTCCTGAACTGTTTAACTCTTCTCTTCCTTCTGCCCGCAATTGGCGTTGTATTTCTCCAGTTCTTCTAGGTAGTTGACGGGAGGCCAGCGGTTCTCGCTGATATACTTCAGGTTCTCCCCCTCCAGCGTCTTAAACTCCGCCCGCTGCTTGAAGGCCATGAAGTTACTTGAGATGAAATGAAGACACCATGTGGCCAGCTGGGTTGCATTGTACATCTGTCAAACAATGAACCATGATAACGTCAGTGTGTTATTTGTAACACAACAGAACTTGTAAAGTAAATAGAGATACTTTACCATCTTTCCACTTAAAATCAAGTTGTTTTGTATTTTGTTTCATTCATGAAAATGAAAGTCCTTTTTGCATTTCATCGATTGGCTTATGTCTTCTACTGGGCTTTAATTCCCAGAAAAATTCAACAATATTTTGTCAAGTTCCATTTAAAATTTACTTCGTTTCATGGAACCCACTGTGGTAGCTTCTCGAAAGTTTGACACGGTAAAAAATTAATTGAAATAGAAAACACATTGGAAAATAGGAAAATTGGTCAAAGTGCGCTGCCTCGAGCCAGCCTCGACCGAATTCATCGAGTCCGTAAGGCTCCGGGGCCTTGCCTCAGAGGCAAGGCCGAGGCCATGACAATTGGCCTCGAGGCCAAGGCCCGCCTCGCCTTTAGTCAAGTCCCACGCGCTTATCCGGACACGCGACACACCCAGGATGCTGGCACGTAAAAAGACTAGCATGAGCGGCGAGGTCGCGAGGGCCTTTACCATCTCATGGAGAGCGCTTATGTTTTTCTTTACATTTGTCTATCGATTTGGTAGACAAATTTTCATGCATAATGCATGACATGTTGTGAATGTGTGCACGTCTTGTTTTATTAGAACGCGTGTGGCACGCGCGCTCGAGGGCACGCGCGCGCGTCATCACCTCAAAAATGGCTTGTTGGTGGTGATTGGTTCATATATATCAGCATGCATGCATGCATGATTCATTTTACTTATAACAAGTCAGGTGTGTTTACAAACACAAATGCCCCGCAACCGTGACTGTTTCCATGACATAACACCACTCTAACATATCAACTTACATGTACCTTGGTCAAATGGAACGTTCATTGACAGCATTAGTGTCTTCTGTAGGTTTTATATGAATTAATCCCTAATCCCTATGATCTCAGAATAAATACAAGATTTCTGTTGTTTTAGCCACTGTGACCGTGACCCTTGACCATTTCGACCCCAAATGCGATAGGCTCCTTAGGATTGCCAAGGACAATCCACAAACCAAGTTTGAAGTTCATATGTAAAGTATATCTCAAGTTATCACGCTGACAAAATTTCTTTTGTTTTTGCCACTGTGACCTTGACCCTTGACCTTTTGGCCCCAAATGCAAAAGGCTTCTTACCCGTACGATTTCAACTTATAAGATCTTATAAGATTCTTATAAGAATCTTATAAGATAATCTTATAAGATAATCTTATAAGATAATCTTATAAGATTCTTATAAGAATCTTATAAGATTCTTGTAAATGAGTAAGAATCTTATAAGATTCTTACAAGATTCTTACAAGTGAGTAAGAATATGGTAAGATTCTTATAACATATTTTCAAGTCAGAATTTCTTCTGATAACTTCTTATTGTTGTTGAGGAATTCTTATAAGAGACCAAAGTTTGAGTCAGAATGTTAAGGAATTCTTATAAGAAACCCTTTGAGTAAGAACTTGGTAGGGGGTCTCTATAAGAAACTTTGTCAGGAAGTATTATGTTACATAAGCTGGCTGCTCATGGGCCACAAGTAGGTCACATGACACAGTGACCTTGCATTCCAGAGATAAACAGTCAGTGTGGGAAATTTGAAAACTGCAGTCAGTATTAAGTGCAGCAGTGCTGAGTACACATGTACTGGCTAATGCATTGAGGACAAAAACTGTCTAAAACTTGGTCAAAATTGTGGATATATTCCCTGACATGGCCTTTGGACATACATTTATTGTTCATGTACACACTTCACCTGTACATTACATCCAAAATACATGTGTGCTGGACCAATATCTGGATGGAAGTATCTGGATTGCTGGCAAGAATTGTGAGTCAACACTCTCAAGCTGTTTGCATGATGTTGTGCACTGCAACTGGTAAGTCTTCATGTACATGTACATGCATGGGCATGTATACAATTTAAGGACACTAGGCCCCTATTTAATTCTTTAGGCCCTATGTGTTAATATAACTGTACTGCTCAGACTGCATTTACATGAATCATGTGTCTTTCAAATGACAAATTAACTTAAGCATGGAAAGGGAATTGAAAAAATAGTACAACTTAATGACGCTTAATGCTCAGTGTATTAATTAACTTCTGGTCAAAAGCTAATACTCTAAAAAAAATTCAAACTTTGTTTTTACATTACATTTGTATATATATTAATTAATTTTAAGTATTCTGTTTTCCATTTCAGATAGAGCAAAATTGCAATTACATGATTGTGGTGGACTACATCCTTAAGTCTGGATTACATCCATGACAAAGGTCTATCATCAAGCAGAAGAAATCAAGGCGTCATCAAAGCCTGCATCTCACTGATCTTGACTACGCGGACGATCTGGCCCTCACGGGTGATCAACTGTGATGCTCAAGACCTGTTAACATCTCTCAAGAATGCTGCAGCCAAGGTCTGCATGTTTCTTAACGCAAAGAATTAGACCGAGTACATGCCATCTATGAGGATGAGAGCCACTACCCAATATACACCAGTGACTGCACCTAACTGTGATTTCAGGTACCTTGGGTCCTATGTTGCCGACAGTAAGAAGGACTTCACTCGCAAAGGAATAGTTTGGAGTGCATGTAAGGTACAAGCTTCATAACATCTGACGACCAAGTATAGCACAATCAACAAAGCTTGCCTTCTTCAGAGCCTGTGTGGAGAGCATTCTTCTCTATGGAGCTAGTGAAACCTGGACCATGAAGAAGGAGCTTCAAGATTGCCTTGATGGCACATACACCATGCTTCGTTTGTACTCTTGACTTTTCAGGGAGAACTATATAGCTCCCACATGTGTTGTACACGATTGTAAATTATTGTCCTCTATTGTTCAACATCCCATACTGAATGCAGAAACGAACTGACATATACAAGATTCAGCATTTTGGAAGATGTTAAAGCACCTTTTTTGGAATATTTTACACATCACATGACTGGTTCTGATCACTTTTACTGAACACCTGGTAAAACTAAACGAAAAGAAATATTGTATTCCAACTTTTCTTCTGCAAGCTGTAAATTATATTTGTCCTGAAACAAACTGTAAGTATAAAATTAACTCTTTTAACCTACTTTTTCTGTCCTGGCATCCATTATTTGTTGAGGTGTCATTTATTTAAATATTTATTTCATCAGCAAACACAAGATCCTTTTGTTAGTCATGGGTTTTCATAGATGTTTAGTAACGAGCATGTCTATTTATGATGTAGGTTTCTAAGAAAAGTTTAACAATACTTTTAAAATTTTATAAGATGTTTAACAATCTTGTAAGATTTTAAAAATTTTGTTAAGATTTTTTTATAAGATTCTGTGACTATTCTTATAAGATTGTTATAAGATTCTGGCAAGATTCTTATAAGATTCTTATAAGAGTATTTTGTAGGCCGCGCCGGGATTCTTATAAGAATCTTATAAGAATCTTATAAGAATCTTATAAGAATCTTATAAGATCTTACTAATTTGCATATAAAATACTTATAAGAATCTTATAAGATTCTTATAAGATTCTTAAAAGATTCTTATAAGAAGTTTCTTGGATTCTTATAAGATTCTCACAACATTCTTATAAGATTCTTATAAGATTCTTATAAGATTCTTATAAGATTCTTATAAGAGTATTTCGTAGGGGTAGGATTGCCAAGGACAATCCACAAACCAAATTTGAAGTTCATATGTAAAGTATATCTCAAGTTATCACGCTGACAAAATTTCTATTGTTTCAGCCACTGTGACCTTGACCCTTGACCTTTCGGCCCCAAATGCAAAAGGCTTCTTAGGATTACCAAGGACAATCCACAAACCAAATTTGAAGTTCATATGTAAAGTATTTCTCAAGTTATCGCGCTGACAAAATTTCTATTGTTTCAGCCACTGTGACCTTGACCCTTGACCTTTCGGCCCCAAATGCAAAAGGCTTCTTAGGATTACCAAGGACAATCCACAAACCAAATTTGAAGTTCATATGTTAAGTATTTCTCAAGTTATCGCGCTGACAAAATTTCTATTGTTTCAGCCACTGTGACCTTGACCCTTGACCTTTCGGCCCCAAATGCAAAAGGCTTCTTAGGATTACCAAGGACAATCCACAAACCACATTTGAAGTTCATATGTTAAGTATTTCTCAAGTTATCGCGCTGACAAGATTTGTCCGGACACACACACACACACCCACCCACCCACCCACCCACCCACCCACCCACCCACCCACGGAAGGACAAGGCGGAAACAGTATGCCCCTTCGGCTTCGCCGCGGGGCATAAAAATGAATAATGATTAGCTCCAAGGACATGGTAAAGGCGCTCGTGGCTTTGCCACTCGACTGGTCTTTTTTTCGTGCCAGAATCTGATAGGGCACCACGCGTCCAGGTAGACACGCGTGCCTTGACTTAAGGCTAAGGCCGGCCTTGAGACCTCCAACACTGCTACAAAACAATCAGAGTGATGATATATCAGACAGTTCAAATAATTATTTAGCAGGACAGACCACATACCTGAGCAGTGTGCAGCAGTCCAATGACATCCACATGTGCCTCTGCTATGCTGTTTGCCACAGCTACATCCACACCCTTGGTGATGTACAACTCACAGAGATTCTTCAGTCGTTCTTGGCCGTACCGATCGGCAGCTACCATGATGCCCACGGCATCTCCCTCCTCTATAGGGGCGTGGTCAGTATACAGGTACTCCAAGAGGGCTAGGAAACACTCCGTACTCACGTCTTCTATTCTGATCTACATATAATAACAATGAATTACATTCACTTTCAATTTTTTTTCCCCCTAAATTTTTAACAAACACAGTCATTATTATCTGCAAAAAGGTATCATCATGTTATTCATTTATAAAAACAATACAGTCGAGTCTCGTTATAACAAACTCGTTCGGACCTAGCCAAATTGTTTGTCATATCAGAATTTTGTATTAAGAGGAACATCAGTCCCATTCATTGCGCACATAAATGCACAGTCGGGACCAAGGCTTTATGTTTGTTATAACCAGAATTTTGTATTAACAGAGTTTGTACTAACGAGAGTCGACTGTATTTAAAGTAAAATGTGCAAAGTGAACTGGAAATTGTTAAGAAATTTTGTATAATTTGTCAAGGGAATTTTACATGCAGCCTTACTTTAGGAACTGTTGCTAACGAAAGAAAGAAAAAATAAAATAAGGGCTAAAGTGATAGTTCAGCCTTCCCCCTCAATTAGAATCTTAATCTTGTTCAAGAAGCACAAAAAAATATCACCTCTTCTTTGTTGCTTTCTGTGAAGACGCCACTAAACATTCGGGCCATTATTTCGCAGCGGGATGTAAGCAATATCTTGTGCACAAAGAATGTCTGGTCTGTGTGAAGACAAAAACCCCAGTCATTTCCTTGAGTGAAGTTGTCATACATGTATCTTGTGGTAAATGACATCACACGTAATTTGAAAGATACAAACACATACATGTAAATTAGTACTTGATTAACATTGTATTAAAAAGGTATACGTAGCAATATATGTGACAGAGGGAACCAGAATCTCAGGAATTCTTTTGTGATGGGGGTATGCTAGGTAATAATAGTCTAGGGTGTGTATATGGTATAGGGATGAGGAGGGGGGGGGGGGTGTTACTCCTCTGCCACATATCGTGTTGGGTATATAAAAAGGTATTGACTAGTTCTGGGCAGTATGGGCTCTGTGCACAAGTAACCCTTCAACGGCCAGAAAATGAGAGTTGGGGGAGACCTAGACTGCTTCAGGGTCCTTCATTGAGAACTTTGAATGTATCAATAGTTACGGGGGGGCAACGGCTCTGCTCTATTGACTCCCGTGCGGAGCAGTTGCGTCGACTCCGTATCAACAACCCATGCAGTGTTGACCCACTCTGACTGGAGACTGGGGCTTACCACACTGAGGCACTCAAACAAGGGTCGTTCCGAGGGAGATCGACTCCCGGTATTCCAGGGTGCGTAGACTGGGGTGTAATCGGATGGTTTCCTGCCCCCGGTGCATGGGCAAATTCAGCTTGGGGGCGCCCCGTGAGGGAGGCGGCCCCCATTGCATTTCCTCTCACATCAGGGGGTAGCATCTCGTGGGCCCCGACACTTGTGTTGGTGTTAAATATGTGGTGTGTCTCGGGTCAAAGCTCTGCACCTGTCTCACTGATTGGCGCAACTGAGCAGCGTTCCGAAAGGAATGGAGCATCCATTGCACCTCTGACTATGGCACGGGGCTGTTCCCCAAGGGGCCTGGCATAAGGTGTACTGGCGGGAAAATTGTGGCATGTCCCCAGACGAAACCCCGCACCAACCGCATCGGCAGGGGAGACTCGGCAGCGTTCCGAATGGAACGAAACGTCTGTTGCGCCGCCATCTACAGCATGGGGGGGGGGGGGGGCTCCCGGGGGGACTGCGCATGCGTGGTGTCGGTGCGGACAATGCATGGTATGTGACTGACGCCCGCTCTGGCCTACTATACCCACTTTATTACCCTCCACATTTTTCCCCAGGAGAGATTCAGACCCCAGAGACCAAGCAACCGCTCCCCTTTCCTGGGCAAAACTCCATTGACTATGAGCGAAAAAGGACTCTAATTCGTCCACCGTGATGAACGTTTTGCTTGACATCTCACTAGGTTGGCCTACAGTTTGCGAGACCTTGATCCAGCCTGCGTCCCCGCCGTGTGGTGAGTTGGACACCAGACTGACTCGACCTGGTGTATTCATGGTGAAAAACACTCAAAAGATTTACCTGTTTTTCCTTCGTCAAACGTGGCGAGGCTGCCACCAATAAAGCATCGACCGAATCCTGGGTCCTTACACACAAGACAGGGGAATCACAGACGCAATTCGCAGGTTCTCAAGGCTCTGGGACGTTTATTTCCTCACACTTTTTACTCAACCGGCTCTCTTCTTTTAGCTCATAACACAACAAGTTGCTTTATCTAAAAAAACCCTACTGAGTTGGCGCCGCCCGGCAACGAGTCTCCCTGGCCGACCAGAAGGGGCTACACTGCACGGCTCAACCACTCCCTCTGCCGGCTGGCAATTAGTTTTACTTTGTAAACTTTTACATGTTTGTTTAAGACATGGAAATGGCAAGGGAAAAAGGGACTAGGAAAAGAATCATACAATCATGATAATGTACCTTCGACTTTGAATCTGATATCGGACAATTCCTGATTGTTGAGGAACAACCGCTTGGCTCTCTGTCCTGTCTGGTCATTCAGGAAAGTCCCGATGCTGGGATTCAGAAACTCCGCTACATTCCGTAAGTTCTTGATGACGCTATCAAGCATAGGCAAACAGAATGTGCTGGATGCCATCTGTAAAGCCACTATGTCCTCTGCACTTGCTCCCTCTGGGATGTTGGGTAGATCTTCATATCAGCAAGGGGGTTAAAACAGGAGGGGAGAAATTCTTATTGGTATGGGAGTTTTTTAATCTTTGGAATGTTTGAAATGTTCTCTTGCGGAAACGGCAGGTTCAAATAAGAAACGTACAGTGTTTTCATTTGGAACAATTCCCATGGTGTTTCCGATCTGTGATGTTCTCAAATTGGGCCCAATTTCATGAAGTGGCAAACATGCAACAGACAGTTAACAGTAAGAGTCTTGCCATTACCTGTGTAGAGAAATTCCAAGACATGGCGGAAGGTCTTGTAAGAGATGTCTTCACTGATTGTAACCTGGCTCTTAGGTTTGTCACATGAGCTACCGTCTGAGGTCACTACATCAAGGATACCAGCTAGACCGGCGATCTTGCCCTCGTTAATGTCCTCCCAGGTAAAGTTCCACACTTTGGAGCCGCTTCCTGTATCCTTACAAGAAAGGCAACAAACGACATGCTATTCAAAAATATAATCAAAACCTTCATTTTGTGAGCTATAAAACATTTGTATGAGCTATGTAAAACAAGTACCCCATCAACGGCAAGACAGGGAGAGTCGGGGGAGACCACTGGGAGAGACATTTGGACGCCTAACACTCATGCGAAGACGGTATATTGTGCAAATTCAGAATGAAATAAGTCGTGTCTACTTCACGTGAGACGCGCTCTAACCAGTACCCGAAGGCAGTTTGTCTCATCCATGGGGCTCTCAAAAGTGGTAAAAAAGCGCTCTCTCTTCTTCCTGCATTGGAGCCCATATTCATTGAGTTTTACAGAAATGTACATGGTGGTCTTGTAAATTTGAAATTTGTTATGCAAAATATGAACTGTAGTCATTGGAACTGTGGGCAAATATTTGGTCTGAATTTCGCCATATTTTGAAATCATCCAGATTTGTAATAATCAAATGGGGGGGGGGGTTTATTATGGCAGTATTTGCAAAGATACTGTGCCATTGTGTTCATATACAGAGGTAGATTTTGGAGGATTTAAGAAAGGTTTCTAACAAAAAAGGGTTCAAAGATGAAACACAGCAAACCTGGTCTGGTGGTTTCAGGCCAAAGACAACGCAGAAGAAGTTGGATGCACTACACAGCATCACTTTGTGAGCCAAGATGCTCTTCCCTTCAACGATGAAAGTGACGTCAGAGTAAGATGGCTGCTCCAACGCCTTGCCTAAGTCCCCTGCAATTGTTGATGTCTGGATTTCAATCCGTGGGGCTTCATCTTGAGACAATAAGACGTATATACACAAAGAAATGTATTTAATTATGAAATATGACAAGCACAGCAGGGAGCATTTCAGAGAATATTGGATGACAAGTCAAACCAGAGTTATACATAAAAGATGTTCTTTTTTCCCACTTTCTTGCATTTTCTCATTGCCCTTGTAGTCCAGGTTCCAGAATTTCAAAATCGCTTTGAAAAGTTTGACCCTACACCATCTGCTCCCCTTAATTTCTTGTTTATTTCTGATTCGTGTATTTTTTCTTATGCACTGTTTTCATGATTTTCCAGCATTTGAAAGAAAAAACTCTCAGCTTTTATCTGATATCCAAAACATAAAAATTAACAGATCACATTTTTGAAAACAAGTGAAGGACATATGTCGATAGCAAAATGTTATGTCACCAATGAAATGGACCAAGGGTGAATTTGTACAGGCCCACAGCAAAAGTTCAGGCAATGCTGAATGGAAGTCAAAAGTTGACATGGCTTACATGTCTTCTTACTTGCTGTTCTCACCTAGTGGGGGTTTCTCAGGTGGGAGTTGCTCAGGTGGGCGGGCTTTCTGCTTCCTTCTCCCAAAACCTTTCTTCTTCTGTGGCTTGCTTGCCTCATCAGCGATGTAAACCTGTCAAGGAGAAGGAAGTCCTCATCACTGAATGTAAAACGACAATCTGGACTCTACAACCCTAGTTGTATTCCTATGATGTACCATAAAAGAAATGCATTGTTCCTGCACAATCAATTGCGGGTGGCATGGATGGCTGGTTGGTAAAGTGCTCGCCTCTCATCACCACTGTGGCCCGGGTTCGATTCCCGGTTCGGGTCATATGCGAGTAGAGTGGGGCGTTGATTCTCCGGATTCCCTCCTGCCGCAAAAATAAGCGCTTTCGATCTCTAGCTGTGCTCAGTGGTCGTATGGCGGCAGCCTAAGGCTTCACATGCCTTCAGCTCGACCACGTTTTAGCTGCGTCCTTCACAATTCAGCTTTCCCAGCTGTGAGTCAGGATGATTAGCCCCTGAAATTATTATAATTATTAAATATGCAGTATGCAGTCTCTGTTCTTAAACAAGGGGGGAAAATAAGTAAAGTGTGACCAGCATTAATATTCTCAGCAAACCAAGCTAAATACACCAAAATGCCAAGAAACTGTACTGTGTATGGATTTTAACAATTTTTTTTTTAAATTTCATCTTCAAGGACTCGGAGTACTCACTGCCTTCTCAAAGCAATCCTTTAGGTTCATGTTCAGCAACCCCGTCATCTCAGTGTATCCCACGTTGTGTTTCTTGGCCACCTTCAAGCCCTCATCACATGAGACAATGCGTCTCCGATGGGCACTCCAAGGATAATCTGTAGAACAAAAAATAACAAAATAAAAACTTCAACAAAATGCTTTGCTTGCTTGTAAAAACGATTATGGCAAAATTTCTCACCAACTTACACATGCCACCCATGCCACCCTGAAGGTCTTGGAGGAATTGGTCCTGAAGCATTGTGTGAAGCAGGGTCAGTGATGGATTTTGGTGGACTTGGTCCAGCCTCACGCAGGCATGTACCAGTGAGTCAGTATGGTGTAGTCCTAAATTCACACTACACCAGCACAGTTGCTTGAAGTACCTTCTGCGCCACATCATGCAGCAAGCGCAACAGGCGCGCCAATCTCCATACGAGGAGTTGTTTACGAGAAGTCCTCACCACTGCATAGCCAGAGGGGGGTTTTGTGTTTTAAAAATAGCATTTGTTTTGACTTTTGGACAGAAAAAGTTGATTATTTTTTACAAAAAAGGTATTTTTGGCTCGAGTAATTATCAGTATCCAGACTCCAACCGGTCTTAAACAGAGTGTTTAAAACCAGCCAAGCACACATTTATTACCTTATTGTTATCAATGTCATTTTACTGGTTAGTATCACGTTCTTAGCTGATTTGTGCCTTGCATGTAAACCTTACAAGCCTAAATGTAAGCTGGGTTTTTTTGCGGTGCACTTGCCTATCTTGGTTGCAACTAGAAGGATTGGAATGTCAGGCATGGCATGGCGGATCTCTGGAATCCATCGAGATTCAACATTCGCCAAGGAAGACTTGCACCGAACAGAGAAATACAGATGAAAGACATCGACTTCCTCATGGTTAGGACCACAGTAACCAATCTGGAAATAGACAACATGTGACACCTTGATTGAAAAATGTTGTTATATGACCACTACCACATCCAATTGGTGATTCTTTTTCAAATTGACACTGATATCGAGCAACTGTTACAGGCTTTCAAAGCAGACCCAGATGAAGAAGTAAAGGAACAGTAAGATCAAAATTTCCATAAAAGAAAAGAAAACAGTAGAACTTTATTTAGAGAACAATCAGGACTTTGGAGGGTTTTCAGGGGTAGTACTAGTTAGATTGATATGTCCACACATCATATGCCTCATTAAGCAGGTTCTGTACTCACAACACTTGTATTCCATCCTAATCTAAGCTCTTGGAAGTACAATGTACAGTTGCAGAATTCCTGTGCCAAAGCCCTTTATTGTAGGCTTGCGCGGTTCCGGCGGTTCCGGCGGTTCCTTTTGACGGATTTTCCCATTACAATCAACGTAGAAAAACAGACGAAAATACGTACTCAAGGAGATAGAAACTCAAACAAATGAAGACACGCAGATTGAAAACAAACTCTACTTTAATAATTTGAAGAAAATAAACTCAAGCGGACGTAGGATGGTGAAGAAAAACGCAAGATTTTTCCGCAGGTGAAAAACGAGGGCAGAAATGAGTCATGAAAAAAGTTTTGTGATGTTGTTTACGCTTCTTTGTGACTGCTCTGGCAGCGTTTGCTATGGACTGACCGAACAAGATTTGGAGCAAAACATTTTTGTGATGTTGTTTAATTCTTCATTACTGTTTTGGCGGCGTTTTCTGTGAACTAAGTAAACAAAAGTACCGTTGCAGGTATTTCGAGGTATGGGGTACTACTTTGAGATAAGCCGACTTTGAGGTACATGTATCAGAATTTTAGGTAACAAGAGTTGTACCTGCAACACATGAGTGTCTATGTATCTCGTCTGTCATTTAACTTATGTCTATCATTTAAAGCTATAGTCCATCATTTGCAGACATCCGAAAAGTAACTGGCGTAATTATTGTTGAAAAACATACTTGGTTGAAAGATAGTAAGTGGACCAAACTCCCTGGGAAATTATTCTTTCTGGCAAGGTGTCATTTTGAAGTAATCAACAAAAGAAGGCCTTTTCAAATTTAAATTAGTAGTTTGTTTTGTTATTCGGCGAAGGGCGCGCAAGCATTGGCACGACGCACATGCGCGCGCGGTTGCTATAATTCATCGGATCAGTGCGCGACATCGCGTATAGCTGCAATTCAAAACAATTCAAAACATGATTCAGCAACTTTTTATTTGAAATTGAGATCCTAGAATGCTGTTTTTCTCGGAATATACAGCTGAAGCTGAGCTGAAACTTCATCAGGTTAGTTGTTCAGTATCCTTCATTAGATTTTGAACACTTTTGTTGAACGAACAAAATGCACAAATTACAAATGATGGACTGTATCTTTAACTCGTATTTAACAGAATTCCAAGCAAGTTCTACTCACAGGTTGCTCCGCATGGTCTTTTCCATTTGTGTTGAGTACTGCACTGGTCTCTGTATATGCAAAGTTATGTTTCTGTGCCAAGTTGAAGCCCTCTTCAAATGTGATACAATCATGTTGGGAACTCCCGCGAAGATCTGTAAAGAAGTATTATTAAAAGGGCCAATGTAATTTTTTTTTTTTTAGTTTAAATGAATTTAATTGTGTGATTTCCAGTTTATCAAAGTTTTTGTTTTGAGTAATAAATATGAGAAAAAAATTATAAAGTGTTTTGGGGAAACGGCCCAGCCCATAAAATGGTAGCTTATTAACATGTAGAATTTGCATAATGGTGAGTACATTCGGAGACACCTCAACCGGCGGACCGGCCGTGCAGCATGGTGCCACGCGTACAATCCATGCAGAATCAGTCAGTCGACTCAAGTCGTTGTCAGTCGATTTGTTCTGAATCCAAAATAAATTGCCAGCCAGATGTGTTGCTGCAGGTTGCGGCAACACCAATAAAGATGGCATGAGCATGCAAACATTTCCAACCGACCCAAAATTTAGACGAATTTGGACTGCCAAAGTCCGGCTGACAAGGGCAAAGTGGACAGGCCCGACACCGAACTCAAACTTTATGCAGCGAACCAGCGACCACTTCAAGCCGGATTATTTTGAACCAAATATGTACATCGTCACTTGAAATATCTTCTTGCGAAGTAGGACCTGATGATACTGAGGATATTTCGTCCGATTCTGTGGAGTATGAGCTTCTCAAACTGTCGTCTTCACTCACCATGTCTGAAAAACAATCTGCTGTACGTACACGGATCGCATGCTTCACGCAAGCCGTGACCTGCGGGACTGTTAGGGGCTTATTTGGTGTCTAGACGTATGGTCAGGTACCAGACTATAATGCTGTTTCTTTTTTTGGGTTACCGAATGTACGTCACAAACAGCGCCACCATTCGCAAGTGTTTGAACATGTTAATGAGGGGGCCGATTACATTTACGCTGATTAATCCCAATTAATGTCATTTTATACCATTGTATCACCCCTATCACCAAGGCACATTTTAAATTATCAAACAGCAACTCTCCAAGAAAGGTCTGCATAGAACCTTTAAGTATATTATCATGTTTTTTAAGATATAACTAAAATCAAATTATTCCATTGGAATAAATTCCCAGGTACTCATATAGTGTTTCGGTTGCCACGGGTAGAGAGAAACAATATTGGAGCAAAGTGTCTTGCCTGTGGACAAACAAAATGCTATTTCCATTGCTGGCTGGTGCAAGTTTCGGAAGACAAGCAAAGTTGAAAAGTTACCCAACCCTTCACGTGCCCCTGCAAATAAACATTGTCAGATCATGTTTAACTGGTTCATAGAGGCTGACACTAAGCTGATTAGCTTTCCGAATAAAAGCCAGATTAGCATGATCACTTGCCTATCTTTGTTGCAACAAGAAGAATTGGAGTGTCGGGCATGTGATGGCGGATCTCTGGTAGCCATCTTCCTTCTATGCTTTCAAGAGAAGACCGGTTCTCCACAGAGAAAAGCATCATAAAGATGTCCGTTCCTGGATAGTTCAGAGGCCTCAGTTGATAATAGCGTTCACCCTGCACACACAACAGTGAAACCTTCTTCAAAATACCCTGCATCTGTAAATCATTTCAACCAATATCAACTGAGAAAGGCAAACTGGCAGGAAGTTGGACTGAAGTGCAATTCACATCCAGTCGCATCTGAAAGAGTTAACCATTTGCTCCGTATCAACTTACATACATGTACATGTACCCAGTCATGTTTACACGTTATAGAAAGAAATGTTGAAAGGCATCAACAAAAGTCAAAACAAGTCAATTAAAAAATCAAAATAAAAAAAAGAATTTTGTTCAACAATTTTACTACCTTTTTTTCGAAACACCCCTCTACCTATAAAATGGAGTGTCCAGCTTGCGAGTAAGATGTAAATAAGTCCTTTTATGGAGATTGGCATGTGCGTCACGCGTAATGTGCGACGACGCACAGATGCAGCTGTGGTGAGTGCATTGTGAACTTATGACTATGAAATACTGACTCACTGGTAGTATTGCGCATGCCTACGTGAGGATTGTGAACGTTCAACCAATAAAAAGTTAAAAGACACTGGATTTCATAGCAGTCCACATTTCATGTGACACTGGAAAAAGTGTTTAAGACCAGCCAGCCTTGTCTTTATCGTCCGTTTAAGACCGTGACGGGTGCTTGGCCAATGGGAATGGGTAAACTAGCTGTCTTAGGTATTTATGAATATTATTGATTGACTTATTTTTAATAGGTTCAATATGCAGAACCACCTTGGTCAAGAACAGGGCACAGGGGTGATAATTAGCACAGATATTTCAATAAAACCTCTGCTACTACAATGTGTCCCAATAACAAAGCAACCAGGAGATAACGTACCTGGTTAGATGTGTCAATAACACTGTGAGCAAAAGGCTTCCCTCCAACTACCGCGTTGCATGAATATAGGCTACATTCAGTGGGGATTAACCCCCAGGGGAAGTGATCGATGGTGTAGGAGAGGCACAGGCTGGTCTTGCCGACATTTCCATCCCCAACCAACACAATCTTCACTTTTTTCTCTGTTGGTTACATGTAAGATATCAAGGGAAAAAAGAGAAACATTGCTATCCTCAACCAACGCGATCTTCACTATCTTCTCTGTTGGTTAAGACAAATGGGAAAAAGCTAGTACACAAATAATGACTTTATGTTCGTAAAGTAATGGTAAGAATAATTTCATGGGGTGTCAGATGGAATGTTCCAGTTTCTGAGCCATACATGCACATGTTGCTGAGTGGAATGGAACATTCCATCTGGTCCCTCACAAAATTATTCTTTCCACTGCAGGAATGTCAAACATGCATAATTTGTTTTCTACAACACCTGAATAAATCAAGCTCGGTGGTTGAGTGGTAAGATGTCGACACTATAGAAAGCAGGAGGTTGTTAGTGTTGTGCAAACCCAACCCGAAACCAATTTTGGGCCGGGTCGGTTAGCTATTTGTTCATCATTTCAATATTTTTATTTTTATTTTTTATTTTATTTCAGCCACATCCAACAGCGCAAGCGCCAATAACAGGATGGTTACATTACGGGGTTACATTATGTGCGGGGTTACATACCTGTGGGTAATAGTAATTGAATTTACTTTTGTGACCCCTGACCCACATATCGTCTTTTTATATATTGTCTTCGGATGTTTTCATTTCATATTATGCGTTGTTTTTGTGGCCCCTACACTTACACTTACACTTATACAGTGTCGTCTTTTGTGTTTATTTTGTTTTATTTTGTATTTCGTAGCTTTTATACATTTTTGTTTATTTTTTGTTTTTCATACCGTGTTTGTTCATTGTGTATTGTTTTGGTCGAATAAATAATAATAATAATAATAATAATAATCATTTCAGTCGGATCATTTTGGGTCAGGTCAGGTCGGTTAAGCAATTTTGAAAATGAATAAATAAATAAACCAAAATAAACCCAAAATACCTGAAACAGTTCAGAAATTCACACGGTGGAATATTTATTGCAGTGTCACTGTGCCCGGTATGACTGAAATGGTTCGCAGCCTATCACTCACGGTCTATAACATACGTACACGAAGGTCCACCCATAGGTGACGTTGTGAGTGTTGTACAGTTACTACCGGTTTGTTAGTGTGACGTCATATCAATTCAAACATGCGTACTATGGAAATGGAAGTTAATCCAATGGGCGCAAGTAATCAATGGTGAGCGTGTGTATGACGTTTTAACTAATGAACCGGATACCTGTCATATGAAAATCCGATTCCTATGAAAATCGGACTCCTTTTCCCTATCACTGAAACCCTGGTCACAGGTCACTTTCCCATAATATGATCCTAAAAATAGCATATAATCGTACGTATGCATGCACAATACTACCAATGAGTCCATATTTCATGGAGTCGGATATTCACGATACACCGGCATATGAAGGTTCAGGCACGAAAGCGGACACGGGTCATTTTTCTTGAATTTTTGTCGGGTCGGGTCGGTTTGAGGGAGTTCAGATTTGTGAGTTCAGATAGTATATAAATGTCATCGCTTAATTATTGGGAGTAACGAAACTCGCTTTAATGAATGCAATCACCATCAGCTTTTTACTGAGCTAATGGCAAGCTGTGGAGTAAATGGGTTTCTGCAAGGGTAGAGATGGTAACGCGTTTGATTTAGCCAATTGCACCAAAATGACATAATTGAACTGTATACTCCCCGGGGAGCTGAGATGGTATTTGGAATGTTTCATTAATTGGCCCCATGAGCTACTGTACCCTCATAACAATATTGTACTGCGCCATGATCATCTGTTAGGTTGATACAATGCTACATAAATCAATATTATTATTATTATTAATATACATGAAATGACACAATATACATCTAGTGCAGGTGCGCAGTGCGTTAGGATGATCAATTCAACACCTCACCGATCAGACGATGGAGATATGTATTGTATAAAAGCAGCTACAAAAATGTTGATAAATTTTCAACAATGGAATATTACTTGATCTTTGATTAACCGCATTACGAACTCAACTGTGCAATACTAATTAAGACTCACCTTTGGCATGTTTGGGCATTGTGACATTTGTTGGAAATGCTAATGACAATATTCCTCTCAGCCTTTCAAGATCATGATGGCAATTCAACCTGTTCACAAAGAAACATGACAAAGAAACATGTTCTGGGGGTTATAATTATTACTTGCAGAAATTTCACATATTGACCTAAATTCTAAAAGTTGGTGAATTCAGCCGCAGGTCATGGGAACGCATGGAGAAAAAATTATGCGATCTTTACAATTCGAAACGAACCAAGCTGCATTTGAAGTGGAGATATAGGCCTAGCTTTTCATTTTGTCCCCTCAAAAATTTATCTTGGAAACAGGGGCCGCCATCTTTGATTGAAGGGAGTCTCCAGTGTGTTGTGTAACCAGGGCCCAATTTCATGGAATCCGTAAACGTAAGCAGGGAATCGGCGCTAACGGTAGCAAAAAAAATTGGAGTAATTGCAGAATACCCCGCCACTCGGAAATACACCCCTAAAATCACTGGCTACGAGGTTGGAATCACTGCAAAAGAAACAATTCAAGTCCATTGCCAGCTACGCGGATGCTGCGTGGGGGTCCATTATTTGAGAACGAAGCAACACAAAATGAATGGGAGTTGCTGAAAAAAATTCTAAGTCCAAACCAACCAACCTGTTGGCGGCTACGAGGCTACGGAGTGGGAGTCCCCTTGAATATGCTTGAGAACGAAGCAACACAAAATGAAATGGGAGTTGCTGAAAAAATTGTAAGTCCAAACCAACTACCCTGTTGGCGGCTACGCGGTCACAAAGTGGGAGTGCAATGGATCATGACGCATAGTACATACAAGTAGCGCTGAGAATGTTTATTGAGGTCAATCAACCGTGACCTCGTAGCCGGGCTACGAGGTGGATAGATCGAGTGGCGGGGTATTCTGCAATTGTGCCAAAAAATTATGCTTACTGTCAGCGCATTTCACGGGCGCAAAATTTATTTGCTATGGTTAGCACGAACTGTATAACCACGGCGCATGCGTAAGTGAGAAGTGTGTGAAAGTAAATAAACTGCTTAAATAGGCAAAGTCTAGAAGTCGTCTGCTACACATTTGTCGTGTGCAAACTTGAAAATGAGTAACGAAAAGGAGACAAAAAAGAGGAGGGGGCACCCTTCATTCCTCAAATGGATGTAGCACTAGCTACCTCTTATTAAGAGGAAAAAAGTATAATGAGAAGGACCCTTTTCCCACTGTTTAGCAGAAAATATCATTATCAGCCTTACGCGCAGAAATTCTGCGCTAACTAATTTAAGCACAAAATCTCTGCTTAAAGGGAATATACATCATTTGCTTTGGCTGTAATTTTCAGAAATGGATGGAATTGGGGGGTTGGAAATATAAAGCAAATATAGTTACACTGACTTTTTGGAGGTTTTGGGTTCGAAAATGCTATAAAAACCAAGAAAAACGATCATTTTCCTGTAGTCTGGTTCCTTGACTCCATACAAGAAGAAACAGAGCAGTTTACATACATTGGGGAATTGTAAGGTCAGGGAACCAGTCTAGCTGGCTCGTACCCGTTCATAGGTTTGTAATCGATTGCAAACAAGTGCAATGGTCCATTGGGGCCAGTATTTGAAAAAAAGCCAGTTGTTTCCAACGCTGATCGGCCGATCAGCGTTGGAAATTGATACAAAAAATACCACTTTTCTTGAAAATGACAGTATACCAGGTGCCATAATTTTACAGGATGCTTTATACTGTCATTTACCAACATCCTATTAAGGTATTTCGCAAAAACTTGGTAGTTTTATTTTTCGATGTTTGCAAATGTTGTATATTCCCTTTAATACAACAAGCATGACAAGTTACAGAGACCATGAAACAGATTCTGCGCTTAGGGCGCCCCGTAAGCGCAGAATTCCACGCTTACCGATTCCATGAAATTGGGCCCTGGTTGGGTTTCAGTGCTTACTTTTACCCGACAGGTTCCCTACTCCAGCATTCATTTTATAACTTTTGACTTATTTTGTAAACTCTCGTCGTGTTTGTCATTTCACATGTCAGCAGACAGCAGCCATTTATTGCATGTATTGCGATCATGCTTGTTACCTAGCGCCCTCTTGCGGCCAACTAAACTTTTTTAGCACACCGCGCGCGCCACAAGAATTTTGCCCGCTACTTGTGACTATAGGGCGAAGCGAGCAGGCGAGTTTTACATTCCCGCGCCTTGTTTAAGTTAGATAGCTGGCATTCCGGGCGTTTCGTATAGTTTTCCCGAGGGCTAGGTCCAAAAGAACGTTGATTTCGATCCAACACCTCGTTGCATCCAGACCATGATTTTCTGCGAGCACTTACACTCTCGCTAATAACAATTTTGGGTGCGGGTCTCCCGGCTGTCAGCAGCGTCGCTTCTGCTGCTGTTTCTTCATCGATTTGCCATCGAAAGCCTAGCATGGACGTAGATCATCCAAAGTGGTGAGTAACTCCCTTGTGTGTTATTTAACTTTTTTATGCCTGAATCGTTTAATGCCTGAATCTTTTATGCCAGTCATTTTATGCAACATTCTGGACTTTTGTATATTTCTTTATATTGCCAGAAGTTAAGGCCGTCAAAACAGACAAGGCCGGATATTTGCCTGTTTGCGATCACGACTTTAGCGAAATAATACTTTTGAAATAAATCTGTTTGTCGTGATTTTCAAGTATTTTTGTGAATCAGCTATTCCTCTGTGAGTGGCATGGAAAGAAAGATTTTCCTTTGACTGTATTTTATGCTTAGCACATTTGTTCAAACACATAATTTCCTATTATTTTAATATTTTTTCGGAAATTCCGGGGAAAATGTTAACATGTACTTTATTTTTGTGAATCTCCATTTTTCCTTTTGAAACAAAACAAATTTGTAACTTAGTTTTGCAACACAAGCACCTAAACTTTAACTTAACTCTTAGTTGCTATAAGGCCACAAAAAAAAAGTATTCGGTCTCTGGTCAGACCAAAGTTCCGGAATTGACGCGGGGACGCGGCTTTTTTTTTTTTTTTTTCAAGCTTGGATCATTGTACAGACAAGGTGGGGTACTATTTTGCTTTTCTTTGGTGTCCTCATGTACACTGGTGTTCTCCATAATTTGCCTTGGTGCTCTCGATCATTTGCCTTGGTGCAATTTCCCATTCCTTGGTGCTCTTTGGTAAAAAAAAAATTGAGGTGCGGCAATAGAGGGCGCTGTTGGAGCTACCGCGGAACATTTTGGAAAAAAAAAAATTGACGCGCATGATTAAAATCGACGCGCGCGCTGACCAGAGACCAACTCATTTTTTTTGTTGGCCTAATATTCATGTTCACGTTTATTATTTGAAATAGACTTTCCTATTATCCCAAAAATATTGGTTTTCTTTAAAGTGTTATGATCATTCAGAAATTTGTTACTGGGGCATGGTGGATATTCTTACTTCATTATTTTATAACATTATTTGGTAAATAATACATTTCTATTTTCGGAATTAAAAAAATTGCACTAATATATATACAATATTCTTATTCTTGCATAGTTGCCATTTTAAATAATTTTTCTCTTTGGGCAACGTGGTAAAAGTTTTCACTTACTGATGTATTTATAAAAAGTACTGATGTATTTATAAAAAGTATTCTTTGATTTAAAAATAAGGAAAACAGTGTTTCCCCAAATTACTTTGAATTTAATGTCGTTAATAATGTACTTTGATCTGAAAGTTTCCCCATAATTCATTAGTCATTAATATTGTTTGTAATTTCAGATCATTGGATAGATCTATACAGCTTCCATTCCCTTTTGACTGTCGTTCTTTTTATACCAAAGTTCTATACACACTAATTCTTTTGGTAACACCAGTTATAAATTTGTAAATACATTGTCTCATACATGTGAAATCAGTTCAACTGTGTTGTAAATAAAATATTTTGATAAACTGAGACAACCAGAAAACTTCGCTCCACCCATATTATTTAGTGGAACCACTCGGTTGTGAGGAGAGTGAGCCCTTTACATTAATTCATATCACTCTCCCCAGTTACAATTGATTATTTTTTTCATGCAATATCTTCCCAAATTCAGGACCCCCCAAAAAGTCCGCGCACATGTACGGACTTTGGGAGCTGGCCATGCAGGCGCTGAATGACGGACATTTTGCACATGTCAGGTTCGCGGTGACTTACGATGCGGATGACTTCCAGGGAAATTGAAAACGTAATCAGAATAATTTGACTATACGTGGGGGGAAAAAAAATGATCTGTTTCAGCAAGTTCCTGGTTGGCCAAACTTCTTACCTTTCCATCTGTGCGTATACATTTGGAGTATTGTGAAGATCGCTATTTAAATGTTAATTTTTTAATTTGTTGACAATTTGACCCCATATCGCCGATTTTACGGGGGGGGGGGGGGAGAATCGGCTACAAAAAAATCAGTATCGCCAGACCTACCACAAGCACCAAAAAAGGGTTTTGCATAGATCTTTTTGCTCCTGAATTGTTTAACTGTTCTCTTCCTTCTGCCCGTATTTGGCGTTGTATTTCTCCAGTTCTTCTAGGTAGCTGACGGGAGGCCAGCGGTTCTCGCTGATGTACTTCAGGTTCTCCCCCTCCAACGTCTTAAACTCTGCCCGCTGCTTGAAGGCCATGAAGTTACTTGAGATGAAATGAAGACACCATGCGGCCAGCTGGGTTGCATTGTGCATCTGCCAAACAATGAACCATGATAACCTCAGTGTGTTATTTGTAACACAACAGAACTTGTCAAGTAATTGGAGAGGCTTTACCACAAGGCTGTAGGAAGCGGTACGGCAGGTACGGCTATAGCCGTACCAATAATAACAGGCCTATTTAAAAAAATTTTTTTTTAATGTATACCAGGCCTTGCATGGCCCCAAGGGCGGATTTTTTTGGTGTCTAGATGCTCTGTGGTGCGATCTGAGGCAATTTTTGACTACTTAGACTTTTTTTAAAGAAAAAGATGGTGGTGTACGCAGTGCCTGCCTTTATTGCGATGCCACTAAAAAACAAAGTTCTTTTTTTTTGGGGGGGGGGGCTTTTTTGGGGGGGGGGGGGGGGGCAGGGGATGGCCCCCATTGCCCTCCCCCACATTTTTCTTGTTTTCTTTTTGTGTTTTGTTTTGTTTTTGTGTTTGTGTTTAAAGGGAAAAGGCGTAATCATACATGTCGCCACTAGGCCTACATGTTAAGTAAAACGCAATTGCGTTTGGCCGCCACCATGAATTTTAGTTTTCCTCAGACTTGTACTTGTGTTTTCTTAAAAAGAAGTGGTTTTCTAAATGAAAAATAGCAAGGAAGAACCGGTTTTGACGATTTATGTAAAGTTCATCAAGTAACATATACTTGTTAAACTTGCAGCTGTGCAGTGCTCCAAAATGTGTCGTGTACAAATTACGAAGAATAAAATTCCCTACATACATGCACATGTACGTAGGCCAGCCTTGAGACCTCCAACACTGCTACAAAACAATCAGACTGATTATTTTGAAGTACAGACCACATACCTGAGCTGTGTGCAGCAGTCCAATGACATCAACGTGTGCCTCCTCTATGCAGTCTGCCACAGCTACATCCACACCCTTGGTGATGTACAACTCACAGAGATTCTTCAGTCGTTCTTGGCCGTACCGATCGGCAGCTACCATGATGCCCACGGCATCTCCCTCCTCTATAGGGGCGTGGTCAGTATACAGGTACTCCAAGAGGGCTAGGAAACACTCCGGACTCACGTCTTCTATTCTAATCTACAAATAATAACAATGAATTACATTCACTTTCGATTTTTTTTTCCCCTAAATTTTTAACAAACACAGCCATTATTATCTGCAAAAAGGTATCATCATCTTATTCATTTATGAAAACAATATTTAAAGTTACAATGTGCAAAGTGAACTGGAAATTGTTGGGAAATTTTGTATAATTTGTCAAGGGAATTTTACATGCAGCCTTACTTCAGGAACTGTTGCTAACGAAAGAAAGAAAAAATAAAATAAGGGCTTAAGTGATATTTCAGCCTTCCCCTCAATTAGAATCTTAATCTCATTCAAGAAGCATAAAATATATTACCTCTTCTTTGTTGCTTTCTGTGAAGACGCCACTAAACATTCGGGCCATTATTTCGCAGCGGGATGTTAGCAATATCTTGTGCGCAAAGAATGTCTGGTCTGTGTGAAGACAAAAAAAACCCCAGTCATTTAGTGGTAACTACAGGTACTTGTGGTTATTACTGACAGTTAATTTGAAGAATGTAAACACATAGATTAGCATTGTTCTTGACTGCTGGGGGAGTTTTAATTGGGCAGTAAAAGGACTAAGGATTAAGAGGCAGGGCCGTTTGCGGTGTTGCTGGGAATAATAGGTTCAGCATCGGCTTTCACGAAGCGCTGCGACGCATCACAACCCGAGTTGCGATGTGTAACACATCGCAACTCGCGACGCATCGTACGATCCATTTCACGAAACTTGCCTGTTTTGAACCCGTCGTAAGTTCCTTGACAACGGCTTAAAACACGTGGCAAGTTACAATGTGTCTAGTGGTCATCGCAAAATAAGAAGATATTTACTGAAATATCATGCACCATAATCCAGTAGCACTGTGCTACTTTGTATTACATAGTATTTAATCCCTGACGAATCAATGAAACAGTGCTCAGGTGGTTTGGGGCAGTACAAAAAGTGACAGGCAGGACAGTTTGAAGCAGTACTAATTTAATGGGCTAATAAATTGGTAAATTTACATGTTTTCGTTTGAACCCTTTAGACACTGTAGCACAGGAAACCGCCCTGCCTATTACTCGCTGTAGCACCCAAAACTGCTCAAGTACTCTGTGCATGGTTTTATTGATTCTTTGCTGAATAAGCACAATGTAATACAATATAGTACAAGCGCTAATGGATTAAGACATGGAGATGGCACAGGAAAAAGTGACTAGGAAAGGAATCATACAATCATGATAATGTACCTTCAACTCTGAATCTGATATCGGACAATTCCTGACTGTTGAGGAACAACTGCTTGGCTCTCTGTCCTGTCTGATCGTTCAGGAAAGTCCTGATGCTGGGATTCAGAAACTCCGCTACGTTCTGTAAGTTCTTGATGATGCTATCAAGCATAGGCAAACAGAATGTGCTGGATGCCATCTGTAAAGCCACTATGTCCTCTGCACTTGCTCCCTCTGGGATGTTAGGTAGACCTTCACATCAGTGAGGGGGTAAAAACACGAGAGGAGAAATTGAGATAGGTAAGGGAGCTTCTTAAATAAGAAACATACAGTGTTTTCATTGAGTACAATTTCCATGCATGGTGTGTCCGATCCTTGGTGTTCAAAATGGAAACATTTGCGGGCCCACTTTGTAGCAACATACATTTAGCATTTAAAGGCGTCAATCATTTGTAATTTGTGCATTATGTTCGTTTGAAGCAAAAAAGTGCTGAAAATCTAAAGAAGGGTGCTGAACAACTCACCTGATGAAGTTTCAGCCAAGTGAATGCTCAGTGAATGTATATTCAGAGAAAACAATGTTCTAGGATTTTAATGTCAAATCAAAAGTTGCTGAGTCATGTTTTGAATTGCGTCTGAATTCAGCGTCCGAGACATGTTCTCTCTGAGCCGATTGCAGCTACACGATGTCGTGCAGTGAACCGATGAATGTAAGGCAACTGCTCGCATGTGCGTCGTGTCAACGCTCGCACGTGCTTCGCCAAATAATAAAAAACGAAAAGGCCTTTTTACATTGATTTCTGCAAAATGACAGCTTGCCTTTAAACCAAGTCGGGTTTTTAACAATAATTACGTCAGTTACAAATGATGGACTGTACCTTTAAGTCTTGTCATTACCTGTGTAGAGAAATTCCAAGACATGGTGGAAGGTCTTGTAAGAGATGTCTTCACTGATTGTAACCTGGGTCGTTGGTTTATCACATGAGCTACTGTCTGGGGTCACTACATCAAGGATACCAGCTAGACCTGCAATCTTGCCCTCGTTAATGTCCTCCCAGGTAAAGTTCCACACTTTGGAGCTGCTTCCTGTATCCTTACAAGAAAGGCAATGGAATTTTACAATTAAAATATAATCAATACCTTTGTTTTGTGAGCTATAAAACAGTTGTATGGGCTATGTAAAACATGTACCCCATCAATGGCAATAATTTCTCAACTAAGAGAATGGTTCTGAAAAGAACCAGAGGTATAAACTCGACATTCCGGTCAGTATGCTCTGACCGTCTTCAGGAGAGACGGTCAGAGCATACTGACCGGAACGTCGAGTTTATACCTCTGGTTCTTTTCAGAACCATTCTCTTAGATGAGAAATCTATTCGCACATGGTGTTTCCGCAAACCTTTCATTATTTAGTATCTCCACCATGCAAAGCCTCAAATCTTACTCATCAATGGCTAGACAGGGAGAGTTGGGGGAGACCACTGGGAGAGACATTTGGACGCATAGCTGAGGATGCCTGATGCTCACACGAAGACACTATGGCTTTGTGCACATTCAGAATGAAATACATGTAAGGCCTGCGTCAAAGGTTGTGCTTCTGCCGTGTCGAATGTAATTCATTTCCGTGCGGCAAAAGCGTGACAGAATTTTAGACTGGTGTCAAACGTCGAATTTAAATCACAGAGCAATCGCATTTAATTACCAGACAAAATGGCGGAGACAGGAAAGCAGGGGAAAGTGACCTCATAAGGGTACTCCCCCAGACTGACCATTACGTCAGTCTATGGTCAGTCTACCTTTACTCAGAAATGATGTCATATAAGTTATGTTTTCCTTATATGACATCATCTCCTATTTTCACTCAAAGTTGCCCCTCAGAAACTGTATAAAATGTCCACATTTTCCCACTTTCATTGAGTTCTTCTTCTTCTCCCTGGGAAACCAGAGGCATAGCCATAAGCTGATTCAGCCCTATGCTCTGGCCAGTCTTCATCTACACAACTCTTCAGAACCTCTGTCTTCTGTCTCCAACTTCCGTATTCTAGTACCCAGCCATACCCATAAGCTGATGCAGCCGTATGGTCTGAGGTTATAGTTCTGTACATACACAATACCGGTATAGAATATTGAGCTCTTGAAAATAAACCTGTTTTCCATATAGCCGAGCTCCTAGTCATTACCAGTGTGTCTTTGTATAGTCTTCGTAGTCATCTGTTCATCCTGCTCTTAGCCCCAGCTACCCTATCCTAACATATAGTATAGTCAAACAAACCAAAGGCTATAGCCAAATCTATATGTTACAATAGTATCAAAGCTGCCAGAAAGAGGAGAATCATGCAGAAGACATTCTGCATAGGCTACACAGTTTATTGAGGAGGAGATCAGTCACATTGTGTTTTCTTCTTTCACTTTTTTTATCACTTTCCCGACTCTCTATACTGTCAAACACAGTCATGCTAATAAGCGTCAACACAGCGTCAACACACACAGAAGCGTCAACACAGCGTCAACACAGTGTCAACACCTCCAAAACGCATTCAAATTGACAAAACCAGTGTTAAACCGTACAGTATGGACAAAAATGAAATTTTGGCTTAAAATCAATAGGTAAAATGTCTGAAAACTACAATTTTCATTCGAGAATATTGGCTTTCTGTCAACATGTTTAAACATGCATGTCATGTGCTTGTTACTGTATCGCCGCCATTTTGGATTGTTTCTGTCTTGTCCATTTGTTTCCTCGTATCTGACAACGCATGCGCATTCCAAAATCACCTAGCCCAGGTTCGATTTGATTCGACGCGGCAAGAGCACGACGTTTGACACCATGCCGTTAACTGCCGTGTAGCACGTACTAGCCTGTCGTGCTACACGGCAGAGTCAAACTTAATCAAATAGTTGGTGTCAAACGTCGTGCTACTGCCGTATTAAATAGAAAGTTTTGTCAGTATTTAAGTTCGACACTGCAGAAGCACGACGTTTGACGCAGGCCTTAGTCGTGTCTACTTCACGTGATACGCGCTCTAACCAGTACCTGAAAGCAGTTTGTTCCATCCACGGGGCTCTCAAATGTGGTAAAAAGTGTTCTCTCTTGCCATATTCATCTAAATTTTTACAGAAATGTACATGGTGCAGGGGGGTAGCACGGCCATTTTTTACTGGGGGGGGGGTAAAATTTCTTGAAAAGGCACTTGCACATCCGTGCTAAAATGTAGACAATTTTTTTCCCTGGAACACTTTGCCTTCGTAAAATCAATTAGTGCCGGGGGGGGGGGGGGGAGTACCATTCATGGGGGCGCTGTTCAAAACTGACGATTATGCACACTCACAGACAATATATGGTGGTTTTCAGGGCAATATATGAGTGAAATTCAAACAAAGACACCCGTAACGGCCGCCTGCCACAAAAAAGGCAGGACTTTTTCTTAAAAAGGGCACAACCTTTTCTCAAAAAGGGCACTTGTCCGGAAAAAAGGGCAGTTGTTAAAGAAGCTGGGCACTCTTTACAAAAATGTTTATTTTAGGGGGGGGGGGTAAATGCTGGTGAAAAAACAATGGCACTTGAATGGAAATGGGCAGAAACTGTGCCATTGTGTTCATGTACAGAGGTAATTTTGGAGGATTCAAGAAAGGTTCCAAACACAAAAGGGTTGAAAGATGAAACACAGCAAACCTGGTCTGGCGGTCTCAGGCCAAAGACACAGCAGAAGAAGTTAGAGGCACTACACAGCACCACTTTGTGAGCCAAGATGCTTTTCCCTTCAACGAGGAAGGTGACGTCAGAGTAAGATGGCTGCTCCAACGCCTTGCCTAAGTCCTCTGCAATTGTTGATGTCTGGATTTCAATCCGCGGGGCTTCATCTTGAGACAATAAGACGTATATAGATACACAAAGAAATGTATTTAATTATGAAATACGACAAGCACAGCAAGGAGCATTTCAGAGGGTATCAGATGATGAGTCAAGCCAGAGTTATGCATGAAAGATGTTGGTTTTCCCACTTTCTTGCATTTTCTCATTGTCCTTGTAGTCCAGGCTCCAGAAGTGGAGTGTCATGGCCTAGCGGTTAAGAGCAACGGACTCATGCTCTGGTGTTTCAGAGGCAACAGTGGCGTGGGATTGAGCCCGCCGGGTGGACCCTTGTGCCCTTAAACAAGGTGCTTAATCATTATTATTTCGTCCTTCGGATGGGAGGTAAAGCCGTAGGTCCTGTGTGTTGTGTAATGTAATGCACGTAAAAGAACCCATTGACACTTATCACTAAGAGAAGGGGTTTGCCCCGGTGTTTCTGGCCTTCTGTATAAACTCCCACGTAGAGTACTTAGGAGAAGAACCAACCAAGAACCAAGAATGCCAAAACGGCTTAAAGAAAGTTGATCCTTCACCATCTGCTCCCCTTAAAGCTATAGTCCATCATTTACAGCTATCCTAAAAGTAACTGACATAATAGTCATTAAAAAGTCCTTCTTATGTGCTGTTTTTATGATTTTTCCAGTAGCCCTATTCGAAAGAAAAAAACTTTCAGCCGATATTCTGATAAGACAATTTTTAATGTTGATTTTAAGTCAATTGAAATCAGCTGTTGACATTGCTTGCATGTCTTCTTGCTTGCATGTCTTCTTACTTGCTGTATTCACCTAGTGGGGGTTTCTCAGGTGGGCGGGCTTTCTGCTTCCTCTTCCCAAAACCAAAAAATCCAAAACCTCTCTTCTTCAGTGGCTTGCTTGCCTCATCAGCGATGTAAACCTGTCAAGGAGAAGGAATCCTCATCACTGAATACAAAACGACAATCTGGACTCTAAAATCTTATTCCTATGATTAGCACTGGACTTGTACATGTACCATACATGAAATGCATTGTTCCTGCACAAATTGTGGGTGGCATGGGTGGCTGGTTGATAAAGCGCTCGCCTCTCATCACCACCGTGGCCCGCGATTCCCGGCTCGGGTCATATGTGAGTAGAGTGGGGCGTTGATTCTCCATATTCTCCCGATTTCCTCCCGGCACAAAAATAAGCACTTTCGATTTCTAGCTGTGCTCAGTGGTCATATAGTGGTGGCCTAATAAGGCGCCTTTAAATGCCTTCAGCTCGACCACGTTGTAGCTGCTTCCTTCGCAATTCAGCTTTCTTAGCTGCGAGTAAGGATGATTAACCCCCGAAATTATTGTTATTCTTCAATATGCAGTGTGTCGTCTTTGTTCTTAAACAAGGAGGGAAAATGGGGTCAGGTTGGTGTAGCAGTACTTTCCTTGCCTTCCACTGCTGTGACCCGGGTTCAAATCCCACCTGGGCCAATATGTGGATTGGGTTTTCAGTCCCTGCCTGATTCCGTGGGTTTTCCCCAGAATATTCTTCTGGGCTTTTCCTCCCACCTTTAAAACTGTAACTTCTTCTCACTGTCTTCTCTCCACAGGTTTCTTCAGGCTTGCGAGCTACAGTGCCTAGGGCGCTTTTGAGGAATCCTTGGTTTCATTACCAGAAATGATTAATAATAATAATAAAATAAGCAGTGTGTGACCAGCATTAATATTTCTCAGCACACCAAGCCAAATACACCAAAATGCTAGGAAACTGTACTGTGTATGGATTTCAACCGTTTTGTTTTTTTAATTTCATCTTCAAGGATTCAGAGTACTCACTGCCTTCTCAAAGCAATCTTTTAGGTTCATGTTCAGCAACCCCGTCATCTCAGTGTATCCCACGTTGTGTTTCTTGGCCACCTTCAAGCCTTCATCATATGAGACAATGCGTCTCCGATGGGCACTCCAAGGATCATCTGCCGAAAGAAAACAAAGCAAACTTTAATAGACAAAATGCTTTGGTTGCTTGTTTTGAAGTTGGTATAAAACAAGATGAAACGATTATGGCAAAATTTCTCAACAACTTACAGAATAAGTAATTCTAGTGTTGTAGTAGATCGAGTCAAGTCCTTTCAAAAGTAAATCAAAAGTCATTTCACAAGTCAAGTCACATGTTACAGGGGACGAACAATAACAATGGAGTGCCTTTGATAAATTTCTTTTGTATGGCTTGTGACCTGCATTGAGACTGGAGGACTTGTGATGGACTTGTGATAATAATATATTATAATAATAATAATTTGGGAGGCTAATCATCCTTACTCGCAGCTGCGAAGGACGCGGCTACAACGTGGTCGAGCCGCTGGCTTGTAAAGGCGCCTTTGGCAGCCAGCCACATCAACCCATATATGCATGACCATTGAGCACAGCCAGAGATTGAAAGTGTTTGATTTTTCTGGAGGGAGGAAAACCAGAGGGCCCGGGTAAAAACTCTCGTGGCACAAGAGAGTACCAACGCACAACTCTACTCACGTATGGCATGTATGGTCCGCGGTCAGGATTCGAACCAGGGCCACAGTGGTGCGAGGTAAGCGCTTTACCAACAAGCCATCCATGCCACCCTGAAGCATTATGTGAAGCAGGGTCAGTGATGGCTTTTGGTGGACTTAGTCCTGCCTCTCACAGGCATGTCACGCAGTCAGTATTTCATAGTCTTAACTTCACACTACACCAGCACAGTTGCTTGAACTGCGTTCTGTGCCACATTACACAGCAAGTGCAACGTGTGCGCCAATCTCCATACGAGGAGTTGTTTACGACAGGTCCTCACCATTGCACAGCTAGAGGGGTGTTTTGTTAAACGAAATCATTGGAAATTTATAAATATCACTTGTTTTGACTTTTGGACTGAAAAATTTTGATTTTGCTTTTACTGAAAAGGTATTTTCGGTTCGGGTAATTATTAGCATCCAGACTCCAATCGGTCTTAAAACAGAGAGTTAAAAAACCGGTGAAGCACACATACTACCTTATAATTATCAATAAGCCTTTTCACACTATGTACGTCCGATCCGTGTCAAGTCTACAAGGTTCCAACCCGTGTCGACTTCTTAAAATTTCAACATGGTTCAAATCACTACGTTTTCACACTACTCAACGCAACACCAGCATTTTTGCTACACGTGTAATGTTTCGACCTGTGTATTGTGCGATTGTTTCACACTACACACACGGCTGGTCACCCTACACGTGTCAGCCCAGCCACGGACCCATTTCACCTCCAACTCACTAGCACTTCATGTCAGTCTTTTTTCTGATTTTGGGCCCATTTTCTCGGACATGTCACATCGGAGGATAAAATATTTTGTGAACTTCTAGCACCATCAAAATTAGAACACCCGACAAACCCAAGCGTTGTTGGCCGCTACTTATGTCAAAGTCACAAGCTCTGTCGGCAGGTGTAGCCTGAATTTAGGTTTTATGAAATACGGACTCATTGGTGGTACTGCGCATGCTCATGCATAGATAATTAGGAGAGGGACCAGTCACGTGAGAGGGTTTAACAAATAAACAGGGAAAAGGAGTCCGATTTTCTTTCGAGTCCGGTTTTCATATCACACCATTGGTGGCACGGCAGGGCAGTAGGTCAAAGGTTATTTATATATGTTCGTTGCTAAAATGTAACAACTACAGTGTGTGATGCTGCATGCACGCAATACGGTCCGATGATTGAGTCGATTCGTGGTTATACACGGGTCGAACGTAACCCAGAAGTGTTCATACTACAGCTTTCAACACGTGTCCGACTTCTCGACACGGATCGAGAGTTCTCAACCCACCTCCCGATTAGGGTTAGTTTTGACATGGGTCAGTGCAGTGTTCAAATGTTGTAGTGTGAAAGGTCAGTTTAGTTAACACGTGTAGGACCCGTGTACAACACGGAGATTTTTCGTAGTGTCCAAAGGCCTAATGTCATTTTAACTGGCTAGTATCACTTTCATTTGTGATTTGCATGTAAACCTTACCAGCACAAATTTAAAGCTGTTTTTGCGGTGCACTTGCCTATCTTGGTTGCAACTAGAAGGATTGGAATGTCAGGCATGGCATGGCGGATCTCTGGAATCCATCGAGATTCAACATTCGCCAAGGAAGACTTGCTCCGAACAGAGAAATACAGATGAAAGACGTCGACCTCCTCATGGTTAGGAGTAAGTGGTTCACTGCAGCAACCAATCTGGGTATAAAGACAACATGGGACACCTAGATTGAAAAATGTGGTTAAATCACCACTACCAAAATGGACATTGATATTGAGTAACTCTTGTAGTCTTTCAAGCAGACCAATGTGAAGAAGTAAAGAACAGTAGGAATTCCCCCCCCCCCCCCATCAAAAAAAAAAAAAAAAAAAAACAGGCCAAAAGTAGGACTTTGGAGCACAAAATCAGGATGAAAATAGAACTTTTGAGGGCTTTCAGAGGTATTTTTCATTGATACTCATATCCACAGCATTATAAGCCTAATTTGGCATGTTCTGTACTGACGACACTTGTACTCCATCCTCAACTAAGCTCTTGGAAGTACAGTTGCAATACTGCGCCCAAGCCCTTCATTGTTTCCATGTTCATGGGATTGACATGAATAAATCTTTTTACAAGTCTCTTTTACTAAATTAAAATAACGAAGAACACCCTCCGAGATATAGTAACTCCTATTAAGTCGAACCTCAAGGGAATGGATAAAAAGTTCAGAGTATCCAGAGTTCGAGGGAAACAATTGTCTGGTTTTTCTTCAGTCATGTCATCTACACGTACATGTATGTACATGAATGGCTTCTACCATTACTGCACTATGCAACGGGCACATTATTTGGCACACTTTCCTTCTTTTCAAAAAAAAAATCTGATGGTGTATTTTTTTAGTCACCGATCATGTGTGTAGCAATTTCTATTTCATGTTGTTTGTTTTATCGATATCAATGCGCTATGCTCGGGGTTTTCCGATGTGTGGAGCAGTCACATGGCCGGTCCTATCTAATCAAACGAGGGCGCACGAATTGCAACGTGGCTAGCAATAGCATCGCGCGTATCCTTAGGGGTTTGTGTGTATACGGGTTTTGTTGGGTGGGACTGGGTCCCGAATCATTCCGGTAATGGGCGGGTACCCGTGGACCCATGATTATTTTTTAAATCATAACACAAACCAGGAACTATTTTCCACCGCTTCCCCGATAAAATGGAATGGGGTACCCATAATCAGCGGTCGGGTTACGGCTACCCGGGTACCCGTCATGGCCTTAGAGGTTTCTAATGCGGTCACACCACAAAGAGGTATTGATTAAACTGCTGGCATGCGGGCCACAATTGGGCCAGTGGTAGTGATCCAGCTATAAACTCGTGATCAAAACCAAGGATTTATTGCCATTAAGGGCTGGATGTCTGATTACAATTCTACTTGCAATTGCATCCCCACATGGAAAGACCAAGTTGGTTGGGCAGACATGAGTCATGAAAAAAGTTTTGTGATGTTGTTTGCGCTTCTCTATGTGACTGCTCTGGCAGCGTTTGCTATGGAGTGGCCGACCAAATTTGAAGCTCAACATTTTTGTGATGTTATGTACGCTTCTTCGGGACTGTTTTGGCGGTGTTGTCTATGAACTGGCTCAACAAAAGCTTAAAGTAAACAGAAGTACCGGTGCGGGTATATTCCGAGGTACTGTATTTATGAAAATTAGATCCCATTGTCTTGACGGGAATGGGGTATTACTTCATCAACAGAGTATCAAGGTACAACATGTACATATGTATCAGGCTTTGAGGTAACGAGAGTTGTACATGTCCCTGCAACACATGAGTGTCTATTTATCTCATCTGCCATTTAACTTGTGATTATCATTTAACTCGTATTTAACAGAATTCCAAACAAATTCTACTCACAGGTTGCTCCGCATGGTCTTTTCCATTTGTGTTGAGTACTGCACTGGTCTCTGTATATGCCAAATTATGTTTCTGAGCTAAGTTGAAGCCTTCTTCAAATGTGATATAATCATGTTGGGAACTCCCACGAAGGTCTGTAAAGAAGAAGTATTATGTATATCTCTCTTTACTATTATTATTATCAGGCGTTGGGCTCTTTTTAGGTGTTGTCCAGCATTAACTGGTTCATAGAGGCAGACTTTAGGCTGATTTGCTTTACGAATAAAAGTCAGATTAGCATGATCACTTGCCTATCTTTGTTGCAACAAGAAGAATTGGAGTGTCGGGCATGTGATGGCGAATCTCTGGTAGCCATCTTCCTTCTATGCTTTCAAGTGAAGACCGGTTCTCCACAGAGAAAAGCATCATAAAGATGTCCGTTCCTGGATAGCTCAGAGGCCTCAGACGATCATAGTCTTCACCCTACACACACAACAGGGAAACCTTCTTTATAATTCCCTGTTTGTGTAAATTATTTCAACCAATATCAACTGAGAAAGGTAAACTGACAGGAAGTTGGACTGAAGTGCAATTCACATCCAGTTGCATCTGAAAGAGTCGCATTCAGTAGTTGATGTGTTTATAGATTATTAATAAATACCTTGGAGAGTTGATGGTTTCTGAGTGGTCGACACTCGATCACGTGGCCGGGCATTAACGGTGATAATGACAGGCTTCAAAGAACAAGCGAATAAATGGCCCCTGAACCAGCATTGATCCAGCCCCATGGAAGGCAATGATTGGCCAAATTTACAACAGTCATACGGCAGCTTGTAACAATACAGCACTGCACATGCGCTCAGCCACCTTCGTGTAATACTGACGTGCGCGTACGCAACACAGTTGCTATGGGTGCGCGCGCGTAAGGAAGTTTTGAAACGACATCGTATAGCGGCAGTGCACTATACTGAGAATGTTACGACGAAAGCGTAGATCTACGATTTATTTTCTGTAAATACTTCGCCCATCGACATATTTACCTTTGCTAAACCAAGCATCTTTGTAATTCTGGACACAAGGAATGTGTAAACGAAATTTCAGCTACCTCCATAAGGTAAAAATATGAAAACATTGTTGTAATTTGTTTGGCTACGGCAGCTGAAGTCGTACGCGTACACAATGAAGACGTTGCAATTGTCCAGCGCAGCCTGGGCCCGGCTGTGGTGTATATAACAACGCTTATTGAAGAGACAGGGTACCACGCATAAGCTAAAATATGGCCCATGAACATGAACACAAAAAATCTGGAAATATCGCCGGAAAAAAGTCACAAAATTGGAGCATTTTAACTGTTTATTTCGTTAAAAAGGTATTTATTAATGGGAATAACAGTGTGAGGATCCGGTCTTCACTGCGTGATAATGACCGGGTTTGGGGGTGACCGCTGTTAATGGAAGAGCGGTCACCCCCAAACCCGGTCATTATCACGCAGTGAAGACCAGCTCCTCACACTGTTGTTCCCTTATTATTATGAGGCCTATTTATTGACTTATTTATAACAGATCATGTTCAACGCAGAACCAATTTGGTCAAGAATAGGGGTGATTAGCGCAGATGTTTCAATAATACCTCTGCTACTCCAATGTGTCCCAAAAACAAAGCAACCAGAACATACCGTGCTAGATGTGTCAAAAAGACCGTGCGCAAAAAGTTTCCCTCCAACCACCGCATTCCATGAGTAATTGTCAAAATTGACGGGGATGTATTCCCTCGGGAAGTGATCCGTTGTGTAGGAGATGCAGAGACAGGTCTTGCCGACATGTCCATCCCCGACAATCACAATCTTCACTTCTGGTATCTTCTCTGATGGTCAAGATACAAGGGAAACAAAGAAATGCATTACAACACTGGTGCAGAACATACCTGGTGAGACAAGTCGATGAGACTGTGGGCAAAAGGCTTCCCTCCAACTACCACATCACAAAAGTAGAGGTCAAAAACGTTGGGGATGTAATCCTTGGGGAAGTAACCATGGGAATAGGAGATGCACAGGCAGGTCTTGCCAACAGTACTATCCCCAACCAATGAGATCTTCACTATCTTCTCTGTTGGTTCAGATACATGGGGAAAATTAGACAAATAATGACTGCACGTTTGTGAGTGCCATAGTAAGAATAATTTCATGGGTGCCAGATGGAATGTTCCATTTGCTGAGCCATACATGCACATGTAGCTGAGTGAAATGGAAAATTACATCTTTCCAGTCCCAAACAAAATTATTCTTTCCATCATGCAAAATTTGTTTTCTACAACACCTGAATAAATCAAGCTCGGTGGTCGAGTGGTATTAAAAGGCATCTGCACTAGAAAGCAGGAGGTCATGGGTTCGAGTCCCACCCGAGTGACTTTTTTGCAACTTTCACTCGGGAGGTAATACACCGAGTGTACAGTGTTTATACATCGGTGAAGGGCATGTTCGTTATGTCTACAGACCGGCATCATTGACATGATAAATCAGCAGCAGCAGTCATTGAAGAAGTAAAAACTGAAATGCATGTGCCCCGAATGAAATCAAGTAAAGTATTGAAGTGCTTCAAAGGTTTTGTAAATGAAATAGGTTTGAAAACATTGTTAATTTTTTGTGCTATGTAGGTTTAACTCAAAGGAAGACTGCGTGATCATAGGTCTCTTTTTAATAATTTGGGTTTCGTTTTAAATTTGTTTGGAAAATTTGTTAACAAATTTAGAATTGTTTTCATTTAAACGTTTAAATGTATGCTGTGCTTGTCAGACAGTACAGCCTCTACTTCAGGCCTACAATTTAATATAAAAAGTGCCATAAATACCTTTTCCTCTCCAATAAATAAAGTGGCACATTAAGTCACAAAAATAGATCGGGAAACAAGAAGTTCAAAACAATGTGTGGAAAGATTTCCATATACGAAGTTCACTAATTTTCCTCTGTATTGACTAACAAGCCCCCAGATAGCAATTTCATGTCATCAAAGTCAATTTGAGCAGTGAGAAAATACAAGCATTTTCTTGGAAAACACTTAGAATTTTTCAGTCCAATCTCATAGGGTTTGTACACAGGGTGTTGAGTGAACTTCGTATCTTTCCCAATGTGTTTGTGTGTCAAGCTCGGTCAGGTCAGTTTTATGGGAGTTCAGATCAGTTTCTGTTCGATTCACTTTATGGGTCATTCTTCAGTAAGTGTCTACTTTCACGTTTCTGGAAAACCGATTTTAAAAACTTAATTTTTGCAGCTTAGAATATTTTTTCATATAGATTAACATCTCTGGCATGGTAAAATCATGTTTGGCGCAATCTTTACCAGAGTTATATTTAATTTTTCTCTTCTTTTTCCAGGTTAGTCATTGCATTTAGTCATATCCGTCACATTTTTGGGACAAACAACCCTGGAAAATATAACTGAATTTAGACTACAAATCCATGTTTATGTCCCCCTCTATAAAACTGTAGAGTATCGTCCTCAAATAAATCCAAATATTTTATTGTTTCAGTATAAAGTACCGATTTTAAACCCTCATAACAGTTTACTGCCTCAAAAAGTGGTGATTTTCAGCGAAAATGGGGACTGTGACATTATTTTTCACCAAATTCCTCCTAAACAACATAAACTTCAGATGAATTAGCAGATGCACACTGTTCATTTATCAATTACAACTGATAATTTTATTCACTCCTGTATTATTTCACACTTTATGGACATACAATAGTCATGTGACGGATATGACTATCCGTGACGGAGATGATCAAGTTCAGGAGTGTAATGTGACGGAGATGACTTCAACTGTCATCAGGCTCCAACAGTTTGTTATGGTTGAGAACAAGATGTAATACTCAATATTGGAACTTCTTCTTGTTATCCTCTGTTGTCGCTCACTCCTCTCTGCCATAGGAACATAGTTAGTTTTCTTGCGAACCCGCTCTTTTTCCATGTACCGGGATTTCTGTATTGGGTCACTCTTCAGACGATTACGATATCGTTTGGCGCGTTCTGCTGCTGTAAGAGCCATTCTGTGATGAGAAATTAAATTGAAAACTTACTGTAATAACTTGCGTATTGCTAGAATTAAATAAACAATGAACAACATACAGTTATATTTATGAATTAATTACCAGACCAAATCCAAGCAAGTACCTTAAAATTAAACTTTCAAAACAAAATAAATTTACATCATACTTTACAAGCATAGACTTCGAAGTAATTGAATTTGACATTTCTTTAAAATGTTGCATTGCAAATGTACCAAAGTGGCGGCGAAAGATCAAAATGGCCGCTAATTTGACCCAACTTAAGACTAAAATTAAATTTGGAAAGATTTAACTTAAGTTTAATACCCCCACTTTTAACCCTATGCACAAACCCTATGGACCTCGTCTAAACAAATCAATTTTTTTCCTATCAAGAAATTTGTTAACATTTTTCCACGTTAAAATCATGAATTCTCGTAAAATGTCAATTGATGGTGATAATAAGCGATAAGGAAAATACAGCTGGGGTAAAGTATAATCTTACCTTACAATTAATTGTTACTAAACAAAACAATGACAAAAACAAAAAATATGATTAAATGTCATATCCGTTTCACTGCCTGTAATCTCCGTCACACAGGAAACCGAGGGTAATGTGACGGAACTGAGCGTGACGGACATGATGGCCCTGACCTTTAACCCACCATGGCTTCGCGGTTCAGACGATGCCAGGCGCGAAGCTTGGGGACGTGGAACAGGTCACGAATCTATTTGCACAACTAGTCACAAAAAAACAATAATTGTTTCTATTTAATGGGTTCTATAGCGTTCGGATATGACACTGAATAAAGGTACGTACCTGTCATTTAGCGAAAACCTTGCTTTTGACGGGTTTTTATTCACATAATCCGGAGCAACTTAAGCAACAACCAACTGTTGTATTTCGCGCGTGTACAAAGACCGAAACAGCGGGACTGAGCGATTTTTATCAACTATTGAGGGCGCTGCACAGGTTTGTGACGGTATCTGACTGAAATCCTCGGGACAATTTTTTTCGGAAAAAACGATAAAATTTAGGACTTAATCGGTTTATAATAGCATATTTTGAGGGATTGAATAGATTTAAGTAATAAATACCTAGTGTTTAAGAGTATTTTCTTGAAGAAAAGTCCCTCCACCAAATAAATATAACGATCAGAATGTTTACATAGTGCGATCGGGACATGGGTTTTTCGGGGGTCGACATCGAACATCAGAAAATAAATAACATTGAACAATTTATTTTCTAGCTTTTTATGATGATTTATTGTATGAAATATGTTAATTAACATAAATTAAATAAAAAACACATCATAGAATAACGAATTTTCCGTCTATACGGCGTCAAAGTATCGGGACACGAAAGTAGACACTTACTGAAGAACGACCCTTATATAGTATATAATGTGTTATGTCATCGCTCATTCATTATGGGAGTAACAAACCTCGCTTTATTGAATTCATACAAGTACCATCAGCTTTTTACTGCACTAATGGCAAGCGAACAGCTGTGGAGTAAATGGGTATCTGTGAGGGCGACAGTCGTGTGTTGGATTTAGCCAATTGCGCCAAAATGACATAATCTGTAGACTCCCTGAGCTGAGATGGTATTTGCAATGTTTCATTAATTGGCCCAATGAACAGGGTAATAACAATATTGTACTGCGCCTTAATTAAGGGAATAAATGTGTGCTCCAGAGGTTTTTATCACTCTGTTTAAGACCACTTAGAGTCTGGGTGCTGATAATTACCCGAGCCGGAGGCGAGGGTAATTATCAGCACCCAGACTCTAAGTGGTCTTAAACAGAGTGATAAATACCGAAGGAGCACATATTTATTCCCATTCATAAATACCTTTTCGGTAAAAAAAAATCATATAATTCGTTCAAAACATCCTGATTTTGTTCAACAAATTCACTTTATGCTTTTTGAAACATCCCTCTTGCAAAGTAATGGAGTGTTCAGCTGGCGAGTAAGATGTAAACAACCCTTTTATGGAGATTGACGCGCGCGTATCATGTTCTGCGCGATGTCGCGCAGAACACACCTGGCGCGTTGCGTTTTGAATTTAGCACTATAAAATTCTGACTCCCTGGTAGTGTTGCGCATGCCTACGTGAGGATTGTGAACGTTCAACCAATGAAACGATAAAAGGCGTTGGATTTTTAGGAGTCCACATTTTATTGTGACACTGGAAAAGTGTTTAAGACCAGCTAGCCATGTCTTTATCATCCGTTTAAGACCAGCCACGTGACGGGCTCTCGACCAATAGGAATGCGTAAACTGTCTTAGGTATTTATGAATATCTCTTTAAGGTTGATACAATGCTACATAAATCAATGTTATTAGTATTATTTTAATACACGAAATGGAACAATATACCAGTACATGTAGTGCAAACGTGCAGTGCTTTAGGATGAAGAATTCAACGACTCACCAATCAGATGATGGAGATATATTCAGGTGTTAATAATAATTAAATGAAGGCTCTACACAAATGTTGATTGCTACAATGGAATTAGTCATGTTAGTTGATCTTTGATTAACTGTATTCTTGACTGAACTGTGCAATACTCACTTTTGGCGTGTTTGGGCATTGTGACATCTGTTGGAAATGCTAATGACAATATTTCTCTCAGCCTTTCAAGATCATGATGGCAAGTCAACCTGTTCACAAAGAAACATGTTTTGGGAGGTTCGAATTATTACTTACATAAATTTCACATATGTTAACCTAAATTCTAAATGTTGAATGTCCAAAGAAATTGACCTGAACAAAGATATTGACTTGCACAAAGAAATTGACTGGAGCGGGGTTTGAACTGCGGCCTCCAGATTTCTGTTCCGGTGCTCCACCAACTGAGTGATCCAGCCTTCACTCAGCTGCCTGCCATGAACTTGCACTTCAGTTGGCAAATTAATTTCAAATAAGAGACAAATTTCACCAGAAGGAAGGAAGTACGGAAGTCCTAATTTGGGGCAAATATTGAGAGGATAGGGTAAGTGAACCTACATGCCGAGTATGAGTTCGAACGATTTCCTACCCCTAGAACTATGGGCAATGATGGGTAATTCTAGGGGTAATGATTTCCATGAAAAAAATGTGTTTTTTTTTTTTTTTTCCAAATAACCAACCTTTTGAGGGAATTACGTATATGGCCAAGCATACAGAGACTATATACCCCGGTGCGGACTAGGTCTAATATTATCTCAATGAATGAATGAAGGGCAGTCCTTGCAAAAATGTTAAAAAGACAGACTGGGAGTGGGAGACTGAGAGTGAGAAACGTTTTGATCAAAACAAAAATTAATCGCGTTAGTAAACACAAGTGCATTTCGAACGATAATAGGGGGTCTGGAACTAGGGCAGCTTTTATGGACGGATACCAGTTCAAGCTGGTTCCCGATTCCCTTTTACCGTTCGAAATGCACTTGTGTTTATCATTATCATAATCGATGCATCGCGCGCGCTCGGTAACGGAATCGCTAAAAAAAAAAACCCGTGTCGGAAAAATTTCCATACTCGATCGCCACTTTTTTCAATTAATTTTCAAGCGCCAAAAGTTGCGTCCTTTATGGTTATTCCCTCCACATTCCCTCCTCTACTTTCCTCCTCTCCTTTTCTTTACTTCTATTATGTCTATTTATCAATCAGTCACTTACTTTATCGATATTCGAACCACGGACTCTTGCTTGACACACGAGACTCTTAACCGCTAGGCCGCGCACGATTGCTGTTGCAATGATGAATCTTTGGACGTATTTGAAGTAGCCATTGAAATAAACTAAATATTCATGAGAAAATAAATATTCATAATGACCTTGGGAAAGATTTCCATATACGAAGTTCACTAATTTTCCTCTGTATTGACTAACAAGCCCCCAGATAGCAATTTCATGTCATCAAAGTCAATTTGAGCAGTGAGAAAATACAAGCATTTTCTTAGAAAACACTTAGAATTTTTCAGTCCAATCTCATAGGGTTTGTACACAGGGTTTGAGTGAACTTCGTAATTTTATGGAAATCTTTCCCAACTTGGTTCTGCACGATGTGTACTCCTAGAACTATGAGGCTCCACGTAGTGGAGCCTCATAGATCAAGAAGCCTGCAAAATTGCCTGCAGCACAAAACACTAATAAAGTACAAAAACGAAAGCGAAATGATAGTATGTGCATGCATACAAGTGCATGTACCGTACCCCCCGCGGCGCGCTCCGAGCGAACCGAAAATCATCGCTCGATCATATGCGTGCACGTTTCAAGTGTCAGGTTGGCTCAGTGCGGAAAGGGCATATTTTTCATCATTTTGGCCTAAAAACCGACAGAATCTACCTATGTTAGTTCTGCGCATGATACGTGAGTATGTCAAGAGATAAAGTACGAAGTATAGGGGCAAACTGTGCAGCGGTTCTGTGTGAAATGGCTGCATTTTGATGGACGTTTTTGTACTTTATTAGTGTTTTGTGCTGCAGGCAGTTTTGCGGGCTTCTTGATCTATGAGGCTCCACTACGTAGAGCCTCATAGTTCTAGGAGTACACGATGTGTGCATCCAAAATGTGCTCTAAATTTACTAGAAACACATTTTGTCTAATTTTTTTTCACCTTAACAGTAACACAGCTTCCTGGATTCCTGTTGGTTGAAATCAAAAGGTGAGATGAACATTAATACGTTTGGCGGCAGATAAATTGACGATCGAGTATGGAATTTTTCCCATCAACTTTTCCCCACAATACGATTGAATTAGGCCTGGCTAATGTTTACCGTTGTGTGGCTCAATACGGAGAACTCGAGGTCAGACGTCTGGACGTGTCAGACGGGTACAGACGACACAGCTTCACTCGCTTTTACTTCCGTGTTGACGTAAACTGAACTCTAAACACCGCCACCAAGTGTTCAATGGTGTCCAGCCAGTTAGCCACTCCTGTGGTAGGGCCGGGTGGGAGGGGTAGGGGGTGCAACAACATCCACCACTGTTGATGATCTTGAACTTTATGTAGTCAATAATCGGATCTAAATTGGGCAAACATCCACACAGACTCCAGTCTAGTCAGTGTTGGGATTTATTGGGCCAGGGGCATGACCTGTGGCGAAAGTTTTAGTTCTTCATGGTGCTGAACAAAAAGAAACAAGATTCAGTTTTATATCTCATTTTGCCGAGTACAAAGATTTGGCCATTAACATTTTATTCCTTTTTTTATATTATATAATAACCATGGTTACATGTGTACCATAATGTTTTCCAATCATAACGGAACAGGAGAATAGCAGTGATGATAACATTTTTTGTTACTTGAAAGAATAAAAAAAAAATATGTTTTGTAGTTAATAACAAAATACTTATTTAAGTACTAGCTTATATGAATGACTAAAATAAAGAAATGAATAAAATGTTCGTTTAGCCAATTCAATTCAGCCAACATTCCCCCTCCCCAGCAGATGTCTGTGCCCCTCCCCCAACGTCCCCCACCCTCACCCCTCCCCCCAATTCCAAATCTTAAAAACTAAAGTATGCAAAATTGAAAGTATTTCTGTTTCTGTTTCTGTTCCATAAACGTACAAACACCTAGAAGGTTGTCGACGTACGTTGGTCAGGGTCAGGTGTGCAGCAACTAAATTCTTGATTGGGTTTTGGAAGCCGGGTCTTGAATGTTGATGTTGTCCAGTGCCAGTCTGAAAGTCTTAATGTCAGGTGAAGAGCGGATGTTAGGGTGAAGTTGATTCCATTCTAGGATGGTCTTTGGGTACATTGAGTAACGAAAGCAGTCCTTATTTGTGGTGATGACTCTGTAGCGTTTTTCAGATTATCAATTCTTAATTATCAATTTGTCTTAATTCTTAGTTAATTATCACACTTTAATTATCAATGTTCCTTTTGAACTTTTTAATGATTAATTCTCCTGAATGCATTACTCATCGTTTTCCTTGTATACACATACACCCACACAGTGCCTATGCAATGTGTAGTCCCTATACTTTTATACAGAGTAAATGACCTTCACTGCCCACACACACAAGTCGTTGGTCAGTTTCTTCGTACAACCAAGTTACTTTCAAGATCATTGTTTTAAGGAACTATATTACTCATTCCTAGTCACTTTTCTGAGACTCAAGGAAACCAAGATATGACTAAGTTTTCCCATTCTTAAGTATTTCTTATTCTCAAGACTTCCTGTTTCCACCAGTATATAAGTCCTGCTCCACTAGCAGTTCTTCATTCTATTCTATTCTAATTTCTATTCTGTTTCAATTCCAATCATGTAGTCAGTTAATTCGTTCTGCTCATCCAGTCAGTTCACCGTCAGTTCTCTTTGTCTCAATTCACTGTATCCAGTTCAATCAATCAATGTGTAAATAACATAATTGTTGTGGAATAAACAGTCACGGTAAACACAGTCCTCAACCAAAGAATTGTGTATCGACTCATCCATTCCCCAACAACTCTATATGAGAAAGGTCCGGTCTGTCTAGTAGAAACCCCCCTTGATGAGTTGACGATGTTCAGATAATCTTCCATATTACACGGTGTAAGCCCATGGGTTTCTTTGTAGAGTGTGACTAATCAAACTTTGGTCCGTCGATCTTGAAGAGTGTCCCATTTGAGTTTATTCATCATTGCTGAGATGCTTGACTCCCTGCTGTAGTCTTGCATAACAAATCTAGCTGCTCTGTGTTGAATGCTTTCTAATTTCTTTTTATCCGACGCATGATGAGGATCCCAAATGGCGGAACAATATTCTAGCCTTGGTCTGACTAGTGTCTAATACGCAATGGACTTGGCGGTACTGTTGCAGTGGTGGATGTTTCTCTTGAGTAGCCCGAACATACGATTGGCTTTAGAGATGATCTGATAAATGTGAGTGGACCACTTGAGATCATTACTGAGTTCAACCCCCAGGTAGGGATGGTGTTTAACCTCTAGTGGTTTGGTATTACCCATGTGATAACTGGAGTCGACTGAGTTCTTCTTGTGGGTGATCTTCATGGTGTGACACTTGGAGGCATTGAATGACATGTGCCAATCTTTTCCCCATTTTTCAAGTGTGTTGATGTCCTGTTGAAGAATGCAAGGGTCTGCTGCAGTTTTTATTTCCCGGTACATGACACAGTCATCTGCAAAGAGTCTCACATGCGATTTGATGTTCTGTGGCAGATCGTTAATGTATACTAAAACAGGAGAGGACCCAGCACTGTCCCCTGTGGAACCCCAGAAATGACCTTCGACTTGTTTGAAGAAGTGCCCTCCAAAACAACTTGCTGTTGACGTTGAGTGAGAAATGAGTCAATCCATTTCAGAGCATTGTTCCTGATGCCGATGTTGTGGAGTTTCCTCAAAAGACGTTGGTGAGGCACCGAGTCAAATGCTTTCTTAAAGTCCATTACAATTAAGTAAGATTGACTCTTATTGTTAATAATTCCAGCCAAGCTGTCGTGGGTCACAGCAGCTAACTGGGTGTCACAAGAGCGACCTCTGCGAAAACCATGCTGGGCATCCGTCAGTACTTGATGTTTGTCGAGATGAATCGTTATGTGATGATGTAAAATAATGTTCTAGTATATTACATGGAATAGACGTCAACGACACAGGTCTGTAATTACCAGGATTTTTCCTATCACCTTTCTTGTAAAGTGGCGTGACGTTTGCTTCAAGCCAAGCTTTAGGTAAACATCCAGTATCCAGTGATTTTTGGAAGATCTTAGAATAAACTGGTGCAAAAGGAGAGGCGCACTCTTTCAAGATTCTAGGAGGTATGGCATCAGGTCCTGGTGCTTTGCTTGGTTTCAGATCTTTCAGTAATTTCTCTACCCCAATTGGATGTGTTTGGATTTCTGGCATGTCGGCTAAGTCTGGTAATGTAGGGAAACTGTCCCGGTTTTCGTTTGTGAAAACTGAACTAAATTGTTCATTCAGCACATTAGCCTTGTCAATCGGAGAGATCACAGTGGCACCATGAATCAGTCAATGTGTAGATTCCAAACATCTGCTGCCTTTGGGCTTTGATGAAATTCCAGAATGGTTTTGTGTTGTTGCTTTGGAGACTACAGCCGATGACATCATGGATGTATTCTTTCTTGGCTTTCCGAATTTTGCGGTCAGTCGTTCTACGGTGTTTTTTTTTTAAGGCGTCCCATGCAGAGGGTGTATCACGCTGTCTAGCTTTCCTGTATAGGCGCTTCTTCTTACATATGTCCCTTTTTGATAGAACAGTTTATCCAAGGCAGTTTCCACTTGGTTGATGTCATTTTGGATGGAATAAATTTGCTGATGGAATCTTGAATGACATGGTCAAGTTCATTCACAAGTTGATTAACATCCTTCTGAGCAACGAAGTCGGGTGTCATTTCTTTGTCGAAATCCTTAATACAGTCAGCAAAAGCAGCATAATTGGCCTTGGCATACAGCAGTATCTTCCTTCTTGCTGGGCGAACTAATTTTGGTTTAACTAGTATGTTAACCACAACCGCTTCATGGTCGCTTACACCTGGGATGACATTGGTACTCTCCACAAAGGAAGGGCAGTTAGTGAAGCACAAGTCCAGTATGTTATGAAGTCTGGTAGGTTGTTTTACTTGTTGACTCAAGTTGTTGTCAAGGGCAATTTCAATCATGGTCTTACTCTGTCCAGCGTAAGACCCTCCAGGGTTGAATTTATACTGATCCCAGTTCACATCAGGGAGATTAAAATCCCAAAGTAACCAAATTGATGCATTACGAGGGATTTTTCTGAGGGCAGAATCCAGATTTTTTATGTACTCTACATCCGATGTAGGGGGACGATAGAAAGCACCTACATGTAGCTACATACAGTGGCGAGACACCATGAACACGTATGCTAGCCCATATTCCTTCACAGTCAGTTTGGAGATCAATCTCTTCATTAGCAATCAGTGTATTTTTGATAGCGAGGAAGACGCCACCGTGAGAATCCCCTGTCTGCCTATCCTTTCTGAATATCTGGTAAGACGTTGTGAAAATTTCTCCATTAGTAATGGTGCTGTTTAACCATGATTCGGTACCGGTAACTATATCTGGATCTTCAGTTTCAAGAAGTACATGGAACCTGTCAAGTTTTGATCTCACACTTTGGCAATTTACATTGATAATCTTGAAGGATTTTGTCTTGGGTTTACATGTCTTCTTCTGTCTGACATTAGCAGAACGAGGGTTGGGGCTAGATCTATGGGTGGGATTGCCCACACCACGACCGTAGTTCACAGTATCAGAAATCTCCATACTCAAGTCACCACCATTACTACCCGCTAAGGCCTCAAACGAGTTTGACAGATCAAATTGTTCGGTACAGTCAAAAAGGCTTGGAGGCAAAGTGGTACTTGTAGCAATTTGATGATAACCTTGCAACATGGAACAAACTCACCGGCATGTCCTTGGTGACCCCAGGGTGATACGGGTGGAAGGTAGATGACCAGTGGGATCGATCAAATGAGTTGATGATGGCTGTGTCATTGAACTCCATAGGCGAAAACAGCTTCAGAATCACACAAAAAAATGTTCCAAAAATAATGAAGAATGGCACTTTGAAGTAACCCATGGTAAAAATATCATCGAAGAAAAGTTAAAAAGTTAAAAGTGCAAAGTGCACATAAGTAAAAAGGAGTCCACTCCACTTGCTACGAGTACGAGTTCGATGACTAAACAGGGTGCATGTACATGTGACATCAAAAAGAATCCATGTGGTCACATCAAAAACAGCGAAAATATCATCGAAGAAAAGTTAAAAGTGCAAAAATGCACGGCTCAGTCGAAACTTGGAGCAGTTAAGAATACATTCATGAACAAGAGAAACTAAGATGGTAAACGAAAAATAGCTAAAAAAGCAGATTTAAAAAAGATAGCACAGAGCTATCTGAAAACGTTGCTGACACACCGATGACCCTTGACCCCTCATTGTAGCGTAGAACAATTCTGGGGTTCCTCACACGCACTCAAAAAGGACTCCAACACAGGTATACTCGTTTCTGCTGGCTCTAGGATGTTTATTCCTTACAAAAACGTACACCGCAAAACACAACTATTCTCTTCAGCAACGAGGCAACAACAACCCTACTGCGCATGCGCCGCCCGGAAGAACGGGCCTCCCCGGCCGGCCACCAGGGGCTCCACTGCGCGGTTCCACCGTGGAACCGCGCTGGTGCCCTCTGGCGGCCGACCGGCACGGAAGCCACACCGCCCCCTTCGAGGACCTTGTTTGTCCCCAAACAGGGCGCCGGCATCCGCAACCGGACAACAAGGAAGACTACAGCATTCAAAAAAAAAAAAAAAAAGAAAATACAAGGAAAGAACAAGAAATCAAAGAACAAGTCTAAGGTTTAGTTGGTGGGTGGCGGCCGGCGCTGAAACTCCGTTTGCCGGAACAGCTGCTCCCAGAACTCTAGGGGGACACCATCGGGGTAGCGCGGGGGCGGAGGCGCTCCAGGGGGCAGCATTCCTCCCAGTGAAGGTTGAGCGGACACGGAGGGATCTACGAAGTGCTGGCCGTACTGCTGTCCCTTGTACGTCTGCAGGAGACGCCCAGGCACTTCATAGGTGTGGACCACCTGTGTCCGCATCAGCCGGTGGCCGACCTCGTCTGCTCCATGGACTGTCCTTTCGAGCCGCCATTCGTCCCGCGCATGCTCGCACAGGGGTTCCAGCATGTGCGTGGCGGCCTCCCTGGTGGTGTTGTCTGGGTGGAGGGCGCCCGCCGTCTCCTGTCGCAGTGAGGTCCCGTCCAGAAGGCTCACCCGAGACCCGGCCGGCAGAACCCTCCGCTGGCCATGCCACGGTTGGACCGGACCCTCAGGGGACATCGGGGGTTCCGTCTGCATTTCGCCTTCCGCCCGTGTCGGCTGGGGGCGACCAGGGCTTGCTTCCGCTGCCCTGCTGAAGCGAGGACGCCTGCCCTGGGCACGGCTCCAGGGGAACCGCCGGTCGGGACTCCGCCGGGGTGGTGGCTGGCAGGGTCGCTCGGCCCGGTCCCGGCTCCGCCGACCAGGCGACCTGTCCTGTTCAGGTCGGGAAGGCCGGAAGGACCGCTCCAGGTGGTCGCAGCCCCCCGGCCCCCCTGACGACACTGGACTTACCTGCTTCTTAGTGGCGGCGGCGACGGGGACCGTCCTGCCGGACCACACCGTCCGAATGGAGGTGGGTCTGGGGTCCCTTGCCAGGAGAGATGAGGCGGGGACGGGGCCTGTCCCATGTCGTCGTCACTGGCGTGCACCTCCAGCGCATCGGCCTCCGCCATCACCACGGCCACGCTGTCCCCTTGGCAGAAATGGTGTTGTCTGGCGCGGACATCGGCCCTAAAAAACCGAACTCCACACCCTCTCTGGCAGGGGTATGGGCGCTCCGGGTGGAGCGCCACACACGCGGTGTTTAGGTGCCTCTGTAAGTTCCTCCTCCTCCCGAACGTCTGGTCACAGTGCGGGCAATGAATCGGGGCCGGGTCCATCCTGCAGGGGGAAGAAGAAGAAGAGCATTTGGTTATTTGTTGGCAATAACGGCTTGGTCGGATTATCTTCCGGCCACCCCGGGTGACTCTCCCAGGAGCCAGCGCCGATGGTGGTGAAGAGGGCTGTCCCCCTTCGGGCTTGGCCAATTCTGCATCAGATCCGGCGTCCTCGCTGCCTGGTCCTTCTGGGGCGGCAGCCGCCGTCGCCTCCGGTGGCAGTGTCCCCTTCCCCGTCTGAACTGGTAGTGGTCCCTCCTTGGCTAACTGACCACCCACCCCGGCTGGCCGGTCCTCCCAGGTAGTGTCAGTCGACGGACTCGGTGGTAGTGTCACCTCCTGGTCTTGGGTTGGTGGCGGTCCCCCTTTTGGCAGGTTCTGCGCTACGCGCCTCCACCAGTCCACTTCGGCGTCGCCCAGATACGGCTTAAGCCGATTGGAATGAACCACCTTGGCTTTGGCTCGAGGGGATTTTTGCACGCGGAACGTGACATCATCGATCTTCTGTGTCACCACGAAGGGCCCGTCCCACCAGCACTGCAACTTGGGCGTGCGACCCACTTTCTTGGAGGGGGTATACAACCACACAGGTTGGCCAGGTATATAGCTGGCACTTTCTGCTCGACGATCGTAATGTCGCTTTTGATATGCCTGGCTCTTCCGCAGATAATGACGGGCAAACTCGTGGGCGCACTCTATCTTTGTCCTCAACCCCTCCACATATTCGTGCTCTGCTGCGCCTGCCTTTGGTTTCTCCGGCTGGCCCACCACCAGGTCCAACGGAAGTCGCACTTCTCGGCCAAACATCAGCATGTTGGGCGTGAATTTTGTGCTGTCGTGCTGGGAGGAGCGGTACGCCATCATCACGTACGGTAGGTGTTCATCCCAATCGTCCTGGTTCTCATGAACAAACAGGCTCAGCATCGTCTTGACTGTGCGGTTGTACCGCTCCACCATCCCATCGGACTGGGGGTGGAATGGCGTGGTGCGGGTCTTTTGGACGCCGAGCAGCTTACAGGTGCCCTGGAAGAGCTCGGCTTCGAACTCCCTCCCTTGATCCGTGTGGATCTCGAGGGAAGCCCCAAACCGGGTGATGACCTGTTCGACAAGGACTCTGGCGAAAGTCTGAGCAGTCTGGTCCGGGATCGGAAACGCCTCCACCCACTTCGTAAAGTAGTCTGCCACCACCATGATGCTAGAATTCCCTGTCCTCGTCCTTGGAAATCGACCCGTGAGGTCGATCGCAAGGCGCTCCATCGGAGCCCCTACCAGGTACTGTTGAAGTGGGGCCTTGAGGGGTCGAGGAGGTGACTTCTTTGACCCGCACATGTGGCACTTTTGACACCACTCTTCTGCCTGGCGTCGCATCTCCCTCCAGAACACCGGAGCCTATCTCAGCCGCGCGACGGTCCGGGTAATCCCCAAATGTCCTGAAGTCCTATTGTCATGCGCCAGTCGCAAGACGTCGTCGACTTTCACCCGTGGTACCACGACCTTCCATACCGGCGGTTCGCCATTGGGCTGCTCCCACTTCACCTGCAATACGCCCTGGGACAGCCGCAGCGTCTCCCACTTAGCCCACCAGTACTTCGGGCCTTCACCCAGCGCCGAGACGTCCTGCCAGCTGGGTTTGGGGACCCCGTCTTCCAGCCACCGCACGATCTTGTCCAGCTCTGGGTCACTACGTTGTTCCTGTTTGAGTTCTTCCTGGTCCCAGGCTTCCAGGAGCCCTTCCGTCGTGGTGGCTTCTTCCTGCCCAGCCCCCGTAACGGCTCCCACCTGCACCTCCCCTGGTTGCGTCTTCCCAGCATCCTTGAGGTGCTCCAATGCTGACTGGCAAGCACTCGACCAGGAGAACGCCCTTTGGCTCTTGGTGGTAAGGGCATGGAGGGGGCAGGCAATCTCGGCGAAGTTCGCAATGAAGCGCCTGTAGTAGGACGCGAGGCCCAGGAAACTCCGTACTTGAGTCAGGTTTGCTGGTTGCGGTCAGTTCCTGATGGCCGCGACCTTTTCCGGATCCGTCCTTACTCCCTCGGCCGACACGAGGTGACCCAAGAAGGACACCTCCGTCTTGAAGAGATCGCATTTCTTCGGTTTGAGCTTCAGGCCGGTGGCTCGGAATCGCTCCAGGACCGTGGTCAGCCGCTTGTGGTGTTCCTCGAAGTCTGCCCCCCACACGATCACGTCATCCAGGTAGACTACCACCACCTGCCACTGCAACCTCCTCAACACTTGCTCCATCAGACGCTCAAATGTCGCAGGAGCGTTGCAAAGGCCAAGGGGCATAACGGTGAACTGGTACAGGCCGTTTTGCATCCCAAAAGCCGTCTTCTCCCGGTCACCCTGGTCCATGCCGACTTGCCAGTAGCCACTGGCCAGATCAAGGGTGCTGAACCACTTCGCCCCGCTCAAAGCGTCAAGGTTGTCCTCGATTCTGGGGATGGGGTAGGCGTCCTTCATTGTGACCTCATTGACTTTCGGGTAGTCGACGCAGAACCGGACAGACCCATCCTTCTTCCGGACCAGCACCACAGGGGATGACCAAGGGCTGTGGGAGGGCTCGACCACGCCGTCCTGGAGCATCTGTTTTACCTGCCGGTCGGCTTCTTGCCGTTTATGTATCGGCAATGTCCTCGGCGGTTGACGTATAGGCGTTGCTGTCCCTGTATTTATTGTGTGTCGGGTCAGTACGGTCTGACCAAGTTTGCCGTCTGGGCCGGTGAATGCTCCAGCGAATTCCGTCAGCAAATCAGCCAGTCGGGAACGTTCAACACGGTCAAGGTTCGCGGCTCCTCGCTCCAGGAGGTCTTGCAGATGGGACGGTACCTCTCTCTGGGCATCCGTCCTCTGTCTGGTGTCTTCCAAAGGGAGGTGGTTGACGGCAGATCCTTGTTGCCCGTCCTCCAGCTCAATCACATCCAGACCCTCCATCGGTGAGAAGAGAGCCAAGCGGCTGCCTTTGTAGACCGTTACAGGGTCGGTCGTCGGGTTAAAAACCCGAACCGGCACGGTTCCATTGTTTGTGTCAACCAGGCCGGTAGCGACCGCGACCCGGCAATTGTCCGTAGCCTCCAAGCTGGGGTAAACCAACCCGACTCCCATCCGTGGTTCAGTCTTTATCTCCCCCGTGAGGATCGCCTCGTGACGAGCTGGGATTATCATGTTCTCCGTCACCTGCACTCTCGCCACCATGGGTTTGTGCATAACACTTCCCAAGGGGACCGCCTTCCCGTTAATGATGACAGCGTTGTCTCCCCATCGCCATTCGCAGTGATACTTTGACAAGAAATCAATTCCGAGTATCACGTCTGGCTCTATATCGGCCACGGTAAAGGTGTGGTTTGCGCGCAGATCCCCCACTTGTAGGTCGAAGTTGCCCCCCCCCCTCCCCCCTCTTGTCGGCATGGGGCTGCCGTCCGCCATCCTCAGAGCTGGAGATGATGGAAGGAGGTTCGGTCTCTTGGCACCGAGCCAGGCGTTGTAGATTCGCTCCGAAATCAGACTCACTGTTGCTCCGGTGTCTAGGAGGCAACGCACTGGTTTCCCCGCGATCCTCCCCGCCACGTAGTTCGCCTTAGACATCCCACCTGAGGCCGGTCTGGCCCGAACAGCCGGCTCCGGCACAGGAAGTTTCGGTGTTTCCTCTTTCTGTGGTCGTGGCTGGAAGGAGGCAGACTGCCGTTTCTGATGGGGGCAGTACCGTCTGATGTGTCCAAATTCGTGGCACCCATAGCACTCCACCTGGGCACGCGCACCTGGTGTATACACGGCCCGGGGGGCCGATTTGGATTCCTCGGCAGGGGTTGGAGGAGGCTGGGCTACCGACCTCACGTCCCTAGCCATCGGTTTCTTTTTTCTGTTCTGCGCTTGCGACTCCAGAAATGCTTTCATTTCGGTCGCGTGAGTGACTGCCTCGGTCAAAGTCGTCGCTTTCCTGGAGAAGATGTTAAGCTGCAGCTGTTCTTCTCCCAGGGCATTGCGGAAAGCCTCAACCGCCAAATCCTCACGGGCCTGCGTGGGCCACTTCGGTAGATTGATTGTCCTAGGCTACCAAGTGACTCGTCCCGGCCCCTCGTACGCATAGACAGCTGTGCCCGGTGTAGCGGAATCTGTGCTGTCTCGCCAAACCGTTGCTCGAAGTTTTCCAAGATGGAGGAATATTCCTTCCATGCCTCTGGTGTCATATCCGCCAATGCCTCCTGAGCTGCACCCTTTAGGTGAGATGCAAGGAACATCGCCTTCTCCGCCTCACTCCACTGATTGACTGCTGCCACACTCTCGAAATGGATCAAGTAGTCCGACCACGACGAGATCCCGTCAAACCTGTTGGGGAGCATCAGTGGTCTCCGACCCCCCGGCCCGAGGTGATCAGGCGTCGCAGTTCCCCGCTTGACTGGCACTGGGGTAGCGCTTTCCCCCGTCTGTTTAGGGGCCGCCCAAACATCGCCTACAGCCTGCCGTCCCGTAACGGCAGAAACTGGGTCGGTCCCCCCTGGGAGCACCGGGTGGTGACATCCCATGGGATCCCCCAATTGCAGTGGTGTACGGCCGAGCAGCCAGGTCGGTTCCGCTCCGTTGGCTTGTGTGCAGAGCAACCCGGTTCCATTGACTCCCGTGCAGAGTTATCTCGTCCCATTGGTTTGTGCGAGGAGCAACCTTGCCGGCTCCGCCCCATTGGCCTGTCTGCGGAGCAGCTCTGCCCAATTGACTCCCGTACGGAGCAGCTCTATCGGCTCCGCGCCATAGACGTCCGTGCGGAGCAACCTTGCCGGCTCCGCCCCATTGGCTTGTGTGCGGAGCAACCTTGCCGGCTCCGCCCCATTGACTCGTGTGCAGAGCAACTCCACTGGCTCCGCGCCATAGACTCCCGTGTGGAGCAGCTCTGTTGGCTCTGCGCCATAGACGTCCGTGCGGAGCACCCCTGCCGGCTCCGCTCCATTGATCCGTGCGCGGAGCAACTCTACGGGCTCCCGTCCATTGACTTGTGTGCGGAGCAACTCTGCGGGCTCCCGTCCATCGACTCGTGTGCGAAGCAACTCCACGGGCTCCACTCCATTGACTCGTGCGCGGAGCAACTCTGTCGGCTCTGCCCCATAGACTCCCGTGCGGAGCAACTCCGTCGGCTCCGCCCCATTGACTCGTGTGCGGAGCAACTCTACGGGCTCCCGTCCATTGACTTGTGCGCGGAGCAACTCCATGGGCTCCACTCCATTGATTCGTGCAGTGCGAGCCTGCTCCGAGTGGAGGTCAGGACTCGCCATACTGCGATAGTGGGGACGAACGTACTGCTGGGGGAGATCCACTCCCAGTCGTGCCGCCTGAGGCGCGCTCGGACGGTTTCCCGCTCCCGGTATATGGGCAAATCCAGCTTGGGGGTGCCCCGAATGGGAGGCCGCACCTGTCGTATCCATGTAAGCACTGAGTGGTGCTTCCATGTGGGGCCTAGCACTATTTTCATGAGTGTATGGGTTGTGGGTTGCCCCAGGACGAAACCCACAACCCGCTGCATCAACCAGCACAGCTCGGAATCGCTCCGAATGGAACGAGACGTCTGCTGCGCCAGCGTCTACAGCACGGGGCGGCCCCTCGCGGGACCTGGCATGTACTGTGTTATTACCAGCAAACTGGGGTATGTCCCGACGAAGCCCCGCCCCCGCTGCATCGGACAGCACAAATCGGGATCGCTCTGAGTGGAACAAACCATCTATTGCGCCATCGTCTACAGCACGGGGCGACCCCTCGTGGGACCTGGCCTGTACTGTGTTATAACAGAATATCTGGGGTATGTCCCGACGAAGCCCTGCCCCCGCTGCATCGGACAGCACAAATCGGGATCGCTCCGCATGGAGCGAACTGTCTGCTGCGCCGCCGTCTACAGCACGAGGCGGCCCCTCGTGGGACAGGGTACCAGTCATTGATAATTTATGGTAATGAGCATGCCCACCCCCCGCAGGGGTAGACGTACTGCAATGACTTAACCCCCCGCCAAAGTCCCGAAATTCCACTTTACCATCCCCCACATCCTCCCTCATGAGAAAATCCGTCCCCCGAAACCCCCTTGTTTCCCCTTTCCTCCAACCAAAATTCCCCGGACTATCCCGCAAAAAGGATTCCAACTCGTCCACCGTGACGTGACGAAGGTACTGCCGGCCGATCCACTAGACGGGCCCCCACTCCGTGAGCCCGCACTCCAGCCTGCCTCCTCGCCGTGTGGCGAGTTGGGTGCCAGACTTCCGTGATCTCCTGATTTCATTGCAGAAAATCTCTGAAAAAATACCTGTTTTTCCGCCTTCTGCGTGCCGCCACTGCCACCAATGTAGCGTAGAACAATTCTGGGGTTCCTCACACGCACTCAAAAAGTACTCCAACACAGGTATACTCGTTTCTGCTGGCTCTAGGCTGTTTATTCCTCACAAAAACGTACACCACAAAACACAACTATTCTCTTCAGCAACGAGGCAACAACAACCCTACTGCGCATGCGCCGCCCGGAAGAACGGGCCTCCCCGGCCGACCACCAGGGGCTCCACTGCGCGGCTCCACCGTGGAACCGCGCTGGTGCCCTCTGGCGGCCGACCGGCACGGACGCCACAGTATATATATTCAGTATCCCCTTAAAAAAACATGTGCAACCCCTGGTGCCCCAGAGAAGTTTAACCCTAGTTATGCCATTGATAGTATACAAATGTAATAGAACTGCTAGTATTTACATAAATTAATACATGTGCCCTGCATGGAGCTCTTATCTTTAAAAACATATAATCTCATTTTTGTTTACATGTATAACAAACAACTTTACGCTCGCTCTGTTTAATGTCTTATTAGAAAGTAATGTTTTAGAATAAATTCATCATTGTCATATGGCTGGGGAAACCCCTCCCTCAGGCCCTCATCGTGCAGGACACATCATCCCTCAGTGAAGAACCTCTCCTCAAAAAAACCGAATTCCTTGGACCTTGGAATACCTTTTACACATCACCTGGAAGGTATAGTCTACCGAGGTTTGGTTGAGGATCGAGACAAACAAAGGGAACAATGTAGCACCAATACAAGTGTTCAGTGTTGTTTTCGATCCATCACAAGTCCTTTCACAAGTCCTTTCACAAGTCCAGTCACAAGTAAAGCGATGAACAATGACAAAGGACTGCTTTTGTAAAAGTTCACTTGAATGATAGTGACTTGATTGAGACTGAAGGACTTGTGATGGACTTAATTGTGATAGCCATGCAGGGACTTGCAGGGACTTGCAGGGACTTGCAGGGACTCGGATAATAATGATAATAATAAAAATAATAATACCAGTCTTATATAGCACACGTATCTACCAACAATTAGGTACTCAAAGCGCTGGTAATAATGTCTATTTTAAAGACAGGTAAATGAAGTTTAAATGAGAAATATGAGACCCATTCTATAGCGCACCTCGATGAAGGGTATACAAGGTGCTGTGTCAGAAACCTTTTCAATTGACAGCCGACATACTTTTAACTGCTCACATACTATCCTGCAGTTAAGCTTTCATTCCCCATGTGATTTTGAGTTGCATCTTGAAAAACATATTTCTTGTTTGACATCTAATTTATGTAGCAATTAATATATGTCTGTGGGGATTTGATAATGATGACTAGTTGCCCCTTTAATGATAGCGCAGCGTGCTCCTTTAATAGGGAGTTGCCGCCGCAAAGTGCTCTGCACGGTCTAATCAAAGATGTCCGTGCGCCGTTGGAAAATAGACCCACACTTTACTTCAAATAACTACGAGATCTTTTGTATTAATTGATTTTGTAATGATTCTATTATGTGGGGTAGTTAAGGAAATCCCAATTTATCTAGTTTCAAGGGGATATATTTCATACTAGGCTCTCTTTCATTAAGCTATGTTTATGTAAACAAAGCGCAGTGATACATAAGTTTGCCATCGTTCGGTCTCTTTCAGCGTCGCTTTGACAAAAGTCAGAAGGACATCTCTGTTTGAGGGAAGCGAGGCGAGAGCCAGCCCTGGCCGGCTGTTTACATTGACAAGAACGAGTGTTGGGGGTAATAAATTAGACGCAAAATAAAAACATCTGAACCACCGTCCTGGTCTGTGTGTGTGAGTGACGTTCCTTCGAATTATCTGCTCTCCCTTACCATCTCTGGGAACAACTTCCCCTCCCGTTGATCTTCAAACTTTCAACAACCTATTTCCATGGCAACGTGGGATTACTACAAAGTGGCGTCGTAGACAGGATTGGAGAGTGGAAAAATTAATTATTGCCCCCAACGCTCCTGTCAAATTTATTGTATTGTTGTATTGCTCGATTCTTACATGTAAAATGTAAATGAATTCAGGTTAAGAATTGACACGCATGTATTCGACAGGTTACATTTTTCTTCAGGAAACTTTATATGGAAGAAAGTAGTTATAATTGGATAGTATAGACCGTGTTGAATATATGATGCTGTGTATGCCTTTTTTTAGGCATTTGTATATGAAACATTCTTAAAACAGAGAAGAAAATCGAGTTGTCTGTGCGTTTTTAGAGTTATTGATTGATTAATGAGGCCAGACTTGTATAAGTTTGCAAGTTGATGTGTAACGTCTGGCACAACTCTGTGAATTAATTCAATTGCTCGGGTGTAGTGACATTTTTGTTCTAAATTGTATGTTTCTGTGATGTACATGCATGTATATGTAAACCGTGCCAGTAAATCATACACACGCATTAACTGGTCCCACGCCGAATTGTTGCAGAACTAGAAATACTCTAACCATGGCGTTGAATGAAGGGCTTGCAGAGTTACTAGCTAAATCTAATGAAGCTTTGGCTGCGACCCTCGCTGGTGCACTTCAAAACATTAAGATTACACGCAGTCCAAAAATTAGCGTGCCTAAATTTTGTGGTCCACCAAGGAAGTCCGGGGAACTGACTATTAATGAGTGGCTAGATGAGTTCAATGCATACGGGAGACAATTGGGGCTGGGTGATGAAGAAAAAGTGGGAGCTGTCATAGATCATTTGAGTGGTGTAGCAAAAGAAGAAATTCTATGTGCTCCTGTGGGAGAACGGGACACCTTTGCAAAAATAGCTTCCCTCCTCCAAAGCCGGTTTGGGCCGCTAGAGAGCGTTTCCTCACTAACAAGCGCATTGTACGCGCGCATGCAACTTGAGGGTGAATCAATCGCGGACTACAGCAGAGCGCTTATGAGGCTCCATGATAGAATGGAGCAAGCTTGCGGTGAACAAGAACGTGCTGCACTGCGATTGTTGCGCGATGGGGTATTAAAGGAACAATTTGTAAAGGGAACTAGAGACATATCGGTGCGCAGGGAACTCCGCCGTATTCTAGTAGAAAAGCCTCAACTCGAGTTCTTCCATTTCAGGGAACACGCACTTGCCTTGCTGCCTGAGGTGGATAAAAATAGTGCCCGTCGACCCAAGGTCCGCTCTACTTTAGTCGCAGCGGGAGAAAGTGACCACTTCGAAGCAGCGTCGGTGGCGAAGCCTAGCAGCGACGGGTCGCCCAAAATGGCGGCTTCGGACAAGTTGATTTTGGAGAAGCTAGACAATTTGGCGAAAGCGCAATCAGAAGCAGCGAGTCAAATTCAGAATCTGACCAGTGTGTTAACGCAAAAATTGGACTCTGCAATATCCGCTTCTGCTCAAAAGTCGAATGCGCGGTATACATGCAACTACTGCAAGAAAGTGGGGCACATTTCCCGCTATTGCAGAAAACGCAAAGCGGAAGAAGAAGCGCAACAAAAGGAAATGCCAAATGTCACCCAGGGAAACTCAAGTCCTCTGCCTTAGCGGGCACGACGGTAGAGGAAAGCAATGTGCCCGGAGATAATTTTAGTGTAGGGGCTAATGCTGGGAAGGGATGTGGGAGGAGATCAGGGAGACCTTCAGTGAGTGAGGAGGAGTTGCACCGAAAATTAATTGCTCGCAGTCCTTCGGCCAGTATTGAAATTGGCGGTAAAACTGTGAAATGTGTACTAGATACTGGCGCAGAGACCTCCTTGATCTCATCCACGTTCTACCACCAGCATTTGGCCGGGAGTACCGGAGAATTGGGTACAGTAGGAACGCTCTTAAAAGTCTATGGGGCAAATAACTTGGAGATACCTATTGAGGGGTACTTAGACACTACTATCCGGGTTTTGGGGTCATTGGTAGATGCGAGTTTCTTGGTGATGTCCGACCAGTTTTCACTGACCGAACGGAGAAGGGAATTCCCTATTTTGTTAGGGTGCAATGTATTAAGGGCAATTCATTCCATGGGAGTAACACCGTCTGGGCCGTCTGGCAGTGATTGGGATATTGCGTTGCAGTGGTTAGGTGTTGATGAGTTAGAGAAATCTTGCAGGCCTGCAGATTCACAGAGCATAGCAGGAGCGCTATTAAGGACGGAGCGAACTGAGGTTCTTCCATCCTGTACAGCGAAGTTAGTGTCTTGTCGACTAGAGAAACTTCCGGCCGTCTGTGAGCACATTATGGTGAAAGCCATCCCTTTGTGTTTACAGGATGGCAGGACAATACCTCTAGGTTCTTGGTCGTTGGACGAAGCAGAGTTGTCCAATATACATGTTGTCGAAGGTGTGCAACAGGTTAGTGAGGAAAGTACCATGGAGGTCCTAATTTGTAACAATGGTCCAGAGGTGACCATCCCAGCATGTTTTGAAATTGCCACAGTCGATGAAGTTCAATTTTCGGAGAAGATTTGTCTGCAGTATACAGCAGAAGGTTTGGAGGTTTCTGTCCAGAATGTGGTCAGTGAGGGAGAAGATAATATGTGTAACATATTTCAACCCCAGACTGGCACAGAGTCTGTGATCACCAGTGCTAAGGAGCAGGCGGACACTAGTGGGCCGTCGTGTGAGTCACGGGAGGAATTCATATTTCCAGATGGGACGCAATACCTCTTGCCTCCGGGGATTAACTTAGATGGTCTCAGCAGAGAGGAATCTGCTAAAGTGGCAGAAATGATCAGAAAGCATGATGCTGCCTTCTCCAAAGGGCCTTTTGACCTTGGAGAATGTGATCTTATTCCACACCAGATACATGTCACGAGCGACAAGCCAGTTAACTTGCCATATCGGCGTATTCCACCACATCTCATGCCTGAGGTCCGCAGGTTGCCTCAAGATTTGCTAGCAAAGGGAGTTATTCGGAAGACTGCAAGTTCATATGCCAGTCCGGTCGTCCTTGTCAGAAAGAAGGACGGCACGGTCCGTCTGTGTATTGATTATCGGAGACTCAATGCTCTGACAGTAAAAGATTCATTTCCCTTACCTCGCATAGAGGAGACCTTGGAAGCACTGGGTGGGTCGCGGTTTTTCTCATCTCTTGATCTTACCCATGGGTATTTTCAGGTTGCCATGCACGAGAACTCGATTGACAAGACAGCCTTTCGGGTTCCCTGGGGGTTGTTCTCGTTCAACCGACTGCCTCAAGGTTTATGTAACAGCCCCAGCACTTTTCAGAGAATTATGGAGGTCATATTTGGCGATTTGAATTTGTCCCAGCTAGTGTTATACCTGGATGACATTCTTGTTTTCTCTAAGACGTTCGAGGAGCATCTGACAAGACTTGGTCTGGTATTAGAGAGGTTGATTTCTCATGGCTTGAAATTGAAGGGGAATAAGTGTCAACTTTTCAAGACAGAGGTGAAGCATCTGGGGCACGTTGTTAACAGTTTGGGAGTCTCCGTAGATCCAGACAAGGTGGAGCGAGTCGCGTTGTGGCCAGTCCCTCAGACTAGTGAGCAGCTGCGGTCCTTCCTGGGGCTTGCGTCGTATTATAGACGCTTCATACCTCACTTTGCGGCTATTGCCGGCCCACTGCACTCGCTGACCAACAAGACCAATGAAAAAGCGGGGAAGTCCAGCCGACCTCTCCCATGGTCAGAGGAGGCCGACTTGGCCTTCAGAGAACTCAAAGGGCTCTTGTGTCAAGCTCCTGTATTAGCCTATCCTTGTTTCAGTAAGGAGTTCACGTTGGAAGTTGACGCATCATTGAAGGGCTTAGGTGCATGCCTCACCCAAGTCGGGGAAGACGGATTGAGGCATCCCGTCGCGTATGCCAGTCGCAGCTTGCGAGGTGCTGAAAAGAACTACTCAGACCTCTCAAGCTTCAAGCTTGAGTTGTTAGGATTAAAGTGGGCCGTCTCTGACAAGTTTAGGGACTATCTCCTTGGGACTCATTTCGTGGTGTATACAGACAATAACCCGCTCGTTCATATCCAAACTGCCAAGCTTGGGGCC